TTCCTCGAGATCTTCTTGTTCCGGCTGCTTCAGATGCGTCGCCAGTTGGCTCGCGCTATAGGAGAGATCGGGTCGGCAGGTTACTGCTGCGAATAGTAGGCAGCCGAGCTTCTGCTGATACTCCTGGATTTGCTTCGCGGGGAGTTTTGCGGAGGTGCTGTTGTTGTTCCCGTAGCAGTAGGGAGTCGGGACCGTAGTCGGCGTTAGACCGAATTTCTTCGCGACAGCGCCTGCATACTTTCCAGCATGTAGGTAGAACGCCGAGTTGTCTTCGACGACATTCAGTCCCAGGTACTGGGTCACTGCGTCGGACACCGTGAGTGTCAAGTCCTCTTTCAGCTCCCCTTCGAACCAGGTGGCGATGTCGGTAGTGGAACCGATGTAGAGCAGGTCGTCGACGTAAACGATGAGTAGGATATACTCTCTTCCCTTCTGCAGTCGGTACATGCCTTGGTCATGCGGCAGCTGTAGGAATCCGATTTTTATGAGGCGACCGTGAAGATGCTGCTGCCACAGCCGCGGAGCTTGTTTGATCCCGTAGAGGGATTTTATCAGCTGGCACACTTTTGTAGGGTCGTCGATGAATCCGTGGGGCTGCTCGACGAAGATCTCGGCGTCCACAGGTGCGTACAGGAAAGCATTTGCGACGTCGATTTGGCGCAGTGGTAGTTTCTTCGTGGCCGCGACGGCGAGTAGGATGCGCAAGGAGGTGTGACGGGAGACTGGGGCGAATGTTTCTGTGTAGTCGGTTCCGTATCGTTGATCAAAGCCTCGTACGACCCATCGAGCTTTGAATCGTTCGATGGAGCCGTCCGCGTTGGTCTTGATGCGGTACACCCATTTTCCCGAGAGGACGTTCTTCCCGTTCATTTTCGTTGCAGGTACCAACTTCCATGTATTTCGGTCTTGCAGAGCTTTTAGTTCTTTTTCCATCGCCTCCTTCCATTTCGCCTTGTGTTCCCCCCCAAGAGCCTGCGACAGAGTCGAGGGCTCGCGCGGAGATGGCGGCGGCGGATGCTGGACGGAGACCCATAGGCCGAGGATCTGCAGTCCCGTGGGTGTGTGTCGAGGGGAATTTTCATTCCCGGAATAGGTTGCTTCGTCACCATCTTCTGGATCAGGTAAGAAGTTTGGGCCGATGCGTTCTGAAACATTAGTGTCGACCGGGTGGGGTGTAACGTAACCTTGGTCAGCGAAGTGGTAAAAGGTGTCGAGGTTGTTGCTATCGAGAGGATTGTCTTCGTCGAGTGGAACAGGTACGGAACAGAAAGGGAGTGGTCCGGCAGCTTCCGAGGCTCCAGGTACGTCTTCTTCTGCTGCGTCAGCCTCGGCAGCACGGTCGGCGAAGGAGCGAAGGCCTGCGACAACGTCAGTGGGGTCGTCCGTGTTGGCGACGTTGTCCAGGTAATGCTGCAGCGTCAGTCTTTCGTAGAAGATCACATCACGTGATGCCACGGTATTTTTGTCTTGTATGTCGAGAATTTTCCATGCTTGAAAATGTTTTGCGATGCCGAGGTGTAATCCCCACTGTGCTCGTTGAGTGAATCGTCCTGCTCGGGCTGTGTGGGGTCTGTACTGTACCATGCAGCCGAAAACCCGGAGTAATTTTGTGCTGCCCCTTTTTCGTGTCCACAGCAGGTGCGGTGATGCGTTGTTGGGAAGTGATGACGAGGACAACAGATTGTGCAGGTGGACTGCATGTGTCATCGCATCTGGCCACAGTGTGGTGGGCAGTCTCATCCGGAGGAGCAGCTTTCGCATCGTCGTCTGCAAGGTCCGGTTCTTGCGTTCTGCGACCCCCTGCTGCTGGTGAGCGTAGGGCAGAGACACCAGGCGTCTGATTCCTCTTTCCGGCAGATAGGTCCTGAAGCGTTGTGACTGGTATTCCAGTGCACCGTCTGACTGGAAGCTCTTGAGCTTGGTTCCTGATTCTCGTTCGGCGATGGGGAGCCGAAGGCTCGATCGCGCGTCTTGAGGTTGTAGTGCCAGACGTATCTTGTTGCTGCGTAGATAAACGTGATGACATAGTTGAAGTCGGCTTCAGTATCTTCTCGAGGCATGTTTAAAATATCGCTGTAGACTTTTTCCATCCGTGCGTATGCAGGTGCGCTTGGGTTGTGATGGGATGGAAAAGGCTGGTAGGGAAGATCTGCTTCGGGGCACGTAAAGCACCGTGCGCGTGGTCGTCGAAGTTCTTGGCCGCTCGTTGTAAGGAGGGCGTTTCGTTCTAACACTTCGGCTTGGATGGTTTGCAGTATTGTACTGTTTGCAGGATGTCCGAGGCGTTGGTGCCGGATGTCGTCGGGAGCGCGATGGCCGGGCGAGCGGTGGTATATGTCGGTGTTGGAGAAGAACGCGACGACTGTGGGGGACTGCGGCAGACTTCTTGTGTGATGGGCATAAGTTGATCTGCTTCGATTGGCGGTCCTCGGATCGCTGGTGGTGGTACTCGGCTGGGTCCTGCTGCTGCTACTGCAGGTGATGGTTGGGAAGGGACACTTGCTGGTACTTGTCTTTCTTGTCTGATGACTGCTAACGCTCTTGTTCTCTCTGCTGCAGGTATGGTGTTGGAGTACCAGAATCCATCGGGGTTGAAGTCGGGGTCAAGATCCGGCGGGTGTGTCCAGGCGGCGAACGACACGATCCCATCGCTGTCGGCAGTACCGCGGTCGGGGACGAAGTCCAACACGAAGACGCCGGACTTCAGGAGAGCACGACCGATGAAAGGCCGCCCTTCCCGTGGTAAAGGCGAAACTCGTTGGAGTCCGAGTCGCATTCCAGGTGAATCCCTTTTGCCATTAGCTGGCTGACGCTTAGTAAGTTGTATCCCAAGTTGTCGACGATGAGGACCTTGTTTAGTTGAAGTATAACGTTTGTCTCCATGGATTGTAACTGAACCACTCCTTGTCTATTTGTTTTCAGGTTCTCGTTGTTGGCGACGGTGATGATGACGTCGCGGTTGAGGCGTCGCTCTTGTTGCACGAAGCGTCCGGAAGAACACATGTGTTGACCGCAGCAGCTGTCCAAGAACCAGGTGTTTCGCCCGGTGGGTTCGGCGTTGGCGACCGCAGCATATGTCGGGTTGACCTGAAGTCCTTGTGAGCGCGTCGGCGGAAATTCTTCTTCGTCTGGCGCGTAAGTGGGTGGTGATCCGGGTGCGCAGTTATCGATGTGTACCATGCAGTTGATGATGTTCGGTGTCCCTTGTGCAGATGTGGAAGAACGCCTTGGAGGGCTTTCTTGAGTGGAAGCGACTTGTGGGTCTACTGGACGATAGACACGAGGACGTGTGCAGTTGGCTTTGGAATGTCCGGATGTTTGACAGTTGTGGCAAAACGGCGGCACGATGGTGAGTCCTCTATTGTCGCGTTGATCTTGCTTGCCGCGTCGATTGTAGTTGTTGTCGTTCCTTCGTTGAGTGTAGAAAACTAACTGCTGCTGCTTCCTTGGTTGTCTTTCTTCGAGCAGGTCCATCTCCTGTTGTTCAGCATGAAGTTCGGCGCAGAGGTGCATCTCCGAGATCCTTCCGTGGGCGCGAAGAAGCGAACGTGTGGTTCTCCATTCTGGCCCGAGCCCGGCGAGGACAAGCGTCACGAAGCTTTCTTCAGTGATTGTTCCTCTGCACCGAAGCAGGCGGTCGCGGAGGGTCTGGCATCGACTCATATACTGCATCGCTTTTTCCCCGGTCTTCATCTGTATTGTTGTCAGCTGTTGCATGAGTCGGCTTTGTGTCACGCTGTCGTTTGCTTGATAGAGACACTTGAGATGATGCCATGCGAGTTCCGCGGAGTTTCCATAGCTCCGATACGTTCTGATGCTCTGCTGTTCTTGTGGTGACAGGTTCCGCAAGAGAACTGTGTACACCAGCAGCGACTGATAAGTAAATATTTCTTGCTCCTTTGCAGTGCCGTTGCTTGGAAATGGCAGGGACCCGTTGAAGTATCCCAAGAGATGCGCAGCCTCCATCAGCAGCTCGAACTCAAAGCTCCAGGTAAAGAAGTCGTGTCCGTTGAACGGTGAGGATGTCTGTAACTTGATTACGTGTGAAAACTGCGCCTGGAGACTCAAAATCTCGTTTGGTGTCTGTTGTGATGCAGCTGCTGTTGGTTGGGCACGGGGCGGCATGAACTCGAATGTCCCCGGTGAAGAGTGATAAGGCGCAAAGGTAGGCGCTTGGTTGTGTCGCCCGAATGATGAATTGTCGAGGCTCATCGGTGCTAATCCCATGTTTCCTCCGTTGCTCTGTGTTGAATGCGCAGGTGTCCTTGTCTGCTGCTGCTGGTCGAAGTGCGACATGAAGTTGAAGAGCCTTTCCATAAGGTTCGGATCCACGCTTGAAGAGGATGATGGGGTCACCATTTCCGGTGCTCTTCCTGTTGTTTCTTGAGCAGCGCCGGTCTCGGTTTGCAGTCCTGAAGTGTGCAATCCAGAGTTGCCGGGTTGAGTGTCTTGGGCGCTGGGTGAGCCCGTAGAGATTTTCTTGCCCTTGCTGTCCATGACTTGTAATCAATGAAGTCGTTGAATTTGCAGATTGTAGATGGAGCGTAGTTGCTGGGAGTTTGGTCTCTGACCAGCTCTCATACCATGTTGGGCTGAGAAAAAACCCTTAGGATCTTTCCAGAGACTAAGTCCCAGTTGTAGAATGAGACTTGAGTAGTGCAGCGGAAGTTGAAGCAGTTGAACCCTTGTATTAGTATATGAGAACAAGTGATTGATTAAAGGAAACAAGCATACAGCAATATATAGAAAATAGGAAAGTAAAGCGGTTGTAGAATACAGTTGCAGGAGCGGTTATCGAGTCGCACAGCGACTCGATTGTCGCTTCGGTTACCATCCGCGCAGTTGTAACGGTCAGTCGCAACCTCCAGTTGCGACCCTTCGAGTCCCTTCGCGTTCTTTGTCCACCCCTCGTGTAACCTCCGTTGACTCGCGTACCCGTTACGATCTTCCTCGAGTGTAGTGTTACACTTCAGAAACGCTTAAGTCCTTTGAGATATTTCCAACACATTACAGCTTTATTCAGTTCAGTTCAGATGCACTGCTGCAGTGAATGTTCGTATACCGCACAGGTAGTTTGTCTTAAATTAGTCACCAAATCACCAGTTGCATATATCTTTTGAAATTCATCCCATGGAGGTATTGATTCCTTACAGCTGCGTTACTAACCTTCACTAGTACCCCCCTGACTCTCCTCCGTAGCTGAATCACCAAACCGTACCCGCTTGGTTCGTTCCGAGCCTCCGTCGGCCACCAAAGCAGATCGTTTGGATCGGGCACCAAGCACGCCCGGCATCAAGGGCAGCGGCAAGGGGAAGCTCGCATGCTCCACACTCCCTTCATGCCTCCAACTGACCCCATCCTGCTCAAATCCTTCCCCTTGCCCATTGTTTTTTCTGCTACCATGCTCCCTCTTTCCCTCCCAATCAACCCTCGCCCTGCCTTCCTCCCCTGCTGCCGCCGCACCACCAGCACCACATGCAGCACCACTCCCCTCCCTCCCCTCCCTCTCCTCTTGAGTCGACTCCAAAGCACGCTCTCCCCTTTCTCTCACTTTGGCAATCAGTTGAATACCCTCTCCCTCACACCCCTCCTCCTCACCCTCCATCCCGACCTCTGTCTCCACACTCCCTCCACACACACTCCCTTCCTTCTCACTCATCCACCCGTGTCCATTCTGCCCTGCTTGTACCGCGCCTGTCTCTTTCCGCCGCTTGTGCTTTGGGCCAAGGCACCCCCTCATAACTCCCTCGCCTCCATCCACAGCCGTAGAATCGTCACAGACAGTCAGCTCGCACACCTTCGTCTCCCCTATTTTTGCCTTCTTCCCCTGCCTTCCCTCCTCGTGCCTACCCTCATCTCCCCTTTCCTCCTCTCCTGCACCCCCTCCTCCCCCACCCATCTCTCCTCCCTCTCTCGCATCCCCCACAGCCATTTCAAGCATCCCCACAGCATCGTTACACACCTCCTCCCCCCCCGCCACCATCTTCGCAAGCATCCCCACCGCGTGCAGCAGCCACTGCGTGCCCCTGTCGCCAGGGATTCGCCAGCACCCATCTGCTTCGTCCGGGTGCTTCAAGCTTAGGGCTGGTGGGGGGGAAAGGAAGGGCGCAGAGGGCAGAGGGCAGAGATGCAGGGGAGGAGGAGTGGGGGTTGGAGGGAGGAAGGCGACTGGTGCAAGCATCCCCACCGCGTGCAGCAGCCACTGTGTGCCTCTGTCGCGGGGATGCGCCAGCACCCATCCGCTTCATCTGGGTGTAATGAGTCGATTTTTGGGTCCACTCAAAGTGACTTTTGAGTCGACTCAAAGTGACTTTTGAGTCGACTCAAAGTGACTTTTGAGTCGACTCAAAGTGACTTTTGAATCGACTCAAAGTGACTTTTGAATCGACTCAAAGTGACTTTTGAGTCGACTCAACAATCGACTCATTACATCCGCTTCATCTGGGTGCTTCAAGCAGAGAGCTGCAGAAGGGGGAAATGTAGAGTTGGGCGAGCAGTAGAAAAAGACACCTGACAGCAGCAGAAAAGGCCCTGACTGCAGCAGAAAACGCACCTGACAGCAACAGAAATCACACCTGAAAGTAACCAAAACGCACCTGAGAGCAGCAGTGCCATGCTGTCATTTGCCACCGTGTCCCAATCTTCCAATTCCTCCACCAAAGAAAAGTCTACATGCACAACTTCCCCCCACCCTCCATCCCCCTCCTCCTCCCCCTCCTCCTCCTCCTCCCCTCTCTTCCTCTTCCCCTCCTTCCCCTCCTTCCTCCCTCCCTTCTTTGTCTTCTTCCCCTTCCTGCCGAGCGAATCTGGGCGGTCCATCAGCAGGAGCTGCCAGCTGTTTCGAGCGATCGCGTCCGTCCAGCTGGCGTGGGCTGCTTTCAGGCGCGATTGCAGCCATCGGATGGCTTCTGCACCATCAAAGGCGTCTGAACGCGGCAAAAGGAAGGGAAGGGGAGAAGAAGAAGAAAAAAAAGCAAGGAATTACACCCTCCAAAAAGGGAGAGAGGATAAGGGAAGGAGGGAGCATATACCAGTGGCAACAAAGAAAGGTGAAAGAAGATTAGTGGAGGAATGGGGATAGAGAGGAAAGGGACGAATGGCCCATAGCGCCAGGGAGGAGAAAACACAGAGGACAAGACAGGGAGCCTGAAAGGGAGGTTAAGTGGAAGGAAATCATTTTTGAGGCGCCTCAAAAGCTGAGCCTGTAAGGGGGGAGACGCGGAAGAAAAGGGAGCCTGAAAAGGGGTCAGTGCGTGAGACGTTCTTACCATCAGCAAGCACTGCTTGAACGCCCTCGCGCACTGCCTCCTCTCTTATCTCCACCCCGTCCTCTCCACCAGAATCACGTCTGGCAGCACCGCTCTCTATAAGACCACGTTCTGTATAAGATCTTCCCATAGCAGCGCCTGTGGCTCCTGCTCCAATGCCCGTGCCATCCATAATGGTTGCAGAATCTGTCCACCGGCCACTACTGTCCACAGCAATGATTGCAAAATCGTCTCTTTCTGCCTCCATACCACCACCATCGCCATCCCCTTCAAAACCAGCGGCCACACCGCCCCGCGTCACTCTCTCTGGCCCCTCTAAACCCCCTATCTCCCTCTCCCTCCGTGCTTCTCCTCCTCTAGTAACTCCTCCGCCCCTCTGTCTGTCTGTCCTGCACCCTCTCCTCGCTTTAGCAGCAGCAGCCAGGGCTCTCTGTCGCTTACTCAGTAGCACATTCTCCTCGTCCTCGCTCTCCACTTCCTTCTCTATCTCAACCTCCCCCAATACCTCCTCTCCCTCCTCTCTTTCCTCTCCCTCCTCCTCTCCCTCCTCCTCTTCCTCCTCTCTTTCCTCCTCTCCCTTCTCTCCCTCCTCGCCCCCCTCTCCTCCCTCCTCTCCTCCCTCACTTCCGTCCATGTCCCTCAGAATATCATCAAGCCCACCACTCCCACGCCTCCTCCTCGCACTCCTTGTCTTCCTACCCGCTCCCTCTTCGGGCAGCCCCAGAAACTGGATGCGCTGGGAAATCCGGGCAGCTGAAAACTTCCCTTCCATAGCCTTGGAAATTTCTCTAGCAATGGCAGCCGCCCCTCTCATGCCCTTACTCCTGCCCCTGCCGTGAACCCCCTTAAGTCTTGAAGCTTCACTGTAGAGAGTCTTGATGAGGGAGTCATCTTCATCTGTGAAAGAATCGTTGCCACGTCTTCCCTTGGCTGGTCCAGTCTCCTTTGCTAGTCCAGTCTTGCTCCCTCTGGCATTCCCAGCCCCCCTTGCCTTCAGTCCGGCGCCTCCTGCACTCTCTTCTCCTCTGTGCCCCTTTGCTTCTCCCACACCTTCCAAGCCTTCTCCCTCCTTTCCTCCCTCCTTTCCTCCTTCCTCCTCCCCAACCCCCTCCCTCCTCTCTCCTCCCTCCATCTCCGCCAGTCCAATCTCTTCCTCCACCTCACTCTCTCCCTCACTCCCTCCCTCACTTCCTCCCTCACTCACCTCCCCATCACCACTCCCCTCCTCAGAGTCAGAGTCAAACACCAGCTGCCTCCTCCTCCCCTTCTTCCCCCCTATCACATGCGTTTTCTTAGCCATTCCTTTCTTCACTTGCTTCTCACCCCCCTTATCAGCACAACCATCACCATCACCACCACCACCACTATCACCACCATCTCCCCTTCTGCCCGCATCCTCCTTGCTCCCCTTAAGCCCCTGCGACCGCAAGAAACGGCTGACCTTCGCGGCAAGCACTTTTATCGAGTCTGCTTTTATCGAGTCTGCATCTGCGGCAGAAGGGTCCCTTTGAGGGGCAATTTCGTTCTCCCCGTCACAACCCTCGTGAGCTTCCCCAGCCTCCTCAGGTGCCTCTGGTTCCCCAGCCTCCCCTTTGCCAGTGAAAGCATGCCCTTCTGCTATGAGCGCCCTTGCTATCAGGGATGCTGCATTCCGCCTTGACTTGTGGCTGGAGAGGTGGGGCGGGGGGGAAGGGGGGGAAAGGGGGGAAGGGGGGGAAAGGGAGGCAAAGAGGGGGAGGAAGGCTGCTGAAAGCATGCCCTTCTGCTATGAGCGCTCTTGTGAAGCGAGAGAATGTGAAGCGAGGCGAGGCATTGAGGGGAAGGAACGGGTTCATTGCAGCCCCTAAAAGGCGCTTACCTGCTGTACCTGCCTCTTTTGCGTCGACTCAAAAGCACGGGGGGAGTGGAGCGAGGCGAGGCTTTGAGGAAGTGGGAAAGAATGGGTTTATTGCCGCCCCTAATAGGCCCTTACCTGCTGTACCTGCCATTCTCTTACCTGAGAGACAGAACAAAGGTAATGGAAAAGAACGAAAATAATCGAAAGACCGAACGCAATTGAAAAGAACGAAGATTATGGAAAAGAACGGGTTTACCGCAGGCCCTGTACCTGGCTCTTACTTGTCAGATCTGAAAAGAGGAGAGTCACTGCCGCCTAATAGATAACCCACAATAGTACCCGCCATTCAAGAGAGCAGAAGGAAAAAGAAAAGAGCCCCACCTTGCGAATAGCTGTCGTATTCTCGCCTCCTGCTCCTGTGAAAACGCTTGTGACTTGCCCCGGCCCTTGCTGCAATCAGACCGAAAGGGGAGCAAGGAAGGGAGAAAGAGCTCATTGTACTGCTGATGGTGTGAGTGAGGGAATCCACTGCTGATGGTGTGAGTGAGGGAATCCACTGCTGATGCTCATCCATTGCAGGTAAGCAAGCTATCCAACAAGCAAACAGCAGAGAAAATATCTGGAGGTGTAAGACAAGAGTAAGACAAGAGTAAGACAAGAGGTTGCCCTTGCGACACCCATCCTCTCACGCCCCTATCCACTTTCCATGCCCCTCCAGTGAGCCCCTCCAGTGAGCCCCTCCACTTAGCCCTCACCCCATGCCAGCAGCCTCAGGCGCCCACCACAGGCCTTGGGGTAACTCCACTTCCGCGTCACCCCCCCCAACGCATCCCCCAGCTGGTCCTTCCAAGCATATGCCATCCCACTCTTTCACCATTCCCCTCCCCCTCTCACCTCTTGCCAGCAGCAAGCTCAGGCGCCCACCACCTGCCCTGGGGTGACTCCACTTCCGCCTAATCCCCCCCCAAGCACCCACCAGTAGGTGACTTTTGAGTCGACTCAAAAGTCACCATTCCCCTTCCCCTCTCACCTTTTGCCAGCAGGAGCCTCAGGCGCCCACCACACGCCCTGGGGCAACTCCACTTCCTCCTCATCCCCCCCCCATGCATCCCTCGGCTACACCTCGCATGCATGAACCCTAAACCTTGATCCGTTCCTCTTTCTCGTACCTCTTGCCAGCAGCAGCCTCAGGCGCCCACCACATGCCCTGGGGCACCTCCACCTCCGCCTCATCCTCCCCCAACGCATCCCGCAACCCCCCCCCCCGCCCCTTGCAGAAGCCCGACCTCCCCTTCCTCCCCCCCTTCCTCCACCCCCACCCCCTCCCCGCTTCCCTTTCCCCCCACCCGCCCCCTCCCCTTCCCCGCCCCAGTTCCCCTCCCAGCCCTCCCTCCCTTCCCCCTCCCCCCCGCCCCCCCCTCCTCTTCCGCTCCCCTCCCTTCTCCCCCCTCCCCCGCCCACCCACCCCCCGGCCCGAAGCTCCCCTAGCGCCACGTCAGCAGCAATGGCCATGCATTCCTTCCGGGGTTTGTCTAAGAGGAGGCGGAGGACGAGGGAGGGGCGGAGGGGGAGGAGGGCGGAGAGGTGGCGTACTGAGGAGGAGAGGAAGGCGAGGAGGGGCGCATGCAAAGGGGAGGCCTGGAGGTCTGGATTGGTCAGAAGCTTGTAAAAGGTATGGAGGGTGGATACCTGGGAGAGAGGAGAGCGCGGGGGGGGGGGAGACGGAGGAGGGGAAAAGGGAGGATTGAAGAGTCGAGCCAGGGGGAAGGGGGGAGGAAGGGGGAGGTCCGGGTTGGCCAGGAGTGTGTAAGAGGTACGCGGAGTGGACACGTGTGGAGGGGGAGGAAGGAGTAGAGGCCAGCGGATGGGGGGTGGAGGGGGGAGGTCTGGATCCGTTAGGAGCTGGTAAACGATAAGCAGGGCTGGGAGACTGGAGGGCAGAGAGGAGTGGAAGATGTCTGGGGGGGTGAGACCTGGAACAACACTGGAAGCAGACCTGCCGCACACCTGAAGCACACCTGAAAGAACACCTGAAAGAACACCTGAAAGAACACCTGAAAACACCTGGGTCGCACCTGAAACAGCATGGGCTCAGCAGAGCACCCCACAGTGAATCTCCTGAGCAGCGACAGCACATAGTGGTTGACACGTGGCGAGTTGCTACTGGCCGTTTCCAGCAGCCACACACAGTTCTTAACCGCATGCACGTCCGCAAACCCCATTAAAGCCCTCTTCACATCCAGCTCGTACTCCCGAACCTCCTCCTTTCCTCGCCGACCCTCCTCCTCCGCCTCCTCTATGCCCTCCCCAGGCTCGGCATCCGAACCTATGTCCGAGCCTGCGTCCGAGGCTAGGTCCGAGCCTGGGTCGGAATCTTCCAGGCCTTCTCCTGCTGCTTCTTCGTCGTCCTCCTCTTCAGCAGCAGCAGCAGCAGCAGCAGCAGCAGCACCACCACCACCACCACCACCAGCAGCACCAGCAGCACCCTCGTCTTGACCTTCTGGCTCCTTCTTCCCCTCCTCCGTCTCAACACCCTTCTGCCCTTCCGTCAACCCGTCCTTCCGCCTTTCCTCCCGTCCCTCCGCCTTTCCCCCCCGCCCAGCTTCCCTCCCCTGCCCTATCTTCTCACTTGTGCCCTCTCTGTCCCCTGCACCCGAGTGTGGTGCCTCTCCCTCCATTCGCCCCTCTCCCTCCCTTCGCCGCTCTCCCTCTCCTCGCGTTTCTTCCCCTCCAATCCCCTTTTCCGCTTCACTCACCTTACCACCGTTTTCAGCAGCATCATTACCACCATTGGTGACCCCCCCATCGGCACCCCTACCATCAACGCCCCCACCAGCACCACCCCCAGCAACAGCGCCCCCACGATCCGCTGCAGCAGCGCTTTCTCCCCCCTGTGTTTCCGCCTGAACTCTCTCCTGCATTTTCTCCTGATGTCCCGCCTGATCCCCTTCCTTCTCCGCGTCTGCCCCCTTGGCTGCACCTTCCCCCTTGTCCTTCCCCTTTCGCGCCCTCTCCTTCCGCAGCCGACTCTTCCGCACCACCTGCAATGACATAGAAGCCACAGTGGCAGGACGGCAGAAACGTTAGTCTTGAGACGTCTCAAAACTTTCGTGCCGTCTCCTTCCGCAGTCGACTCTTCCGCACCACCTGCACTGACAGGGAGGCGGGGAGGCGGGGAGGCAGGGAGGCAGGGAGGCGGGGACGCGCGGATGCGGGGAGGCGGGGAGGGAGAGAGGCGGGGAGGCGGGGAGGGAGAGAGGCGGGGAGGCGGGGAGGGAGAGAGGCGGGGAGGCAGAGAGGCGGGGAGGCAGGGAGGCGGGGAGGCAGGGAGGCGGGGAGGCAGGGAGGCGGGGAGGCGGGGAGGCAGGGAGGCAGGGAGGCGGGGATGGCATGAGCTGTCTTAGCAGCTAAAAGCCAAGTCACAAGGCAGGGAGCAAACTGCTAAAAGCCAAGTCACAAGGCAGGGAACAAACTGCTGCTGCAATAAGCCTAGCGAAGCCATGAGTACACTGCGGACCTCGAGCGCCCCTTCCGCCTCAGCAAGATATTCCAGCGGTCGCAGGCACACTTGGGTCGCCTCAACAGTGTCCACCAGCAGGCACCGTGACAGCGTGTGCGGGTCGATTGAACCCTTTGAGCAGCCAATGCAGCACATGCAGCACGTGCAGCACCCACTCTGACTGAAGGAGGGGATGCAATACACGTACCTTCAAGGCTCCCTCCGTTTCCACAAGGTATTCCAGCAGTCTCAGGCAAACATGGGTCGCCTCAACAGCGTCCACCAGCAAGCACCGCGGCTGCGTGTGCGGATTAAACCCCTTGAGAAGTCTCTGCAGCACGTGCAGCACGCCGTCACTCGAGTCGTCGTAAAACAGCCGCAGCAGCATGGCTCGCGCCAGCCGAACCTCTCGCCGAACCTCCAACCGGACCTCTTGCCGAACCTCCTCCGAGCCTCCGGCTGTGGGAGAGGCTTTTTCCCCTGACTTGATAACAGCGTCTAGCATGTGAATCTGTGGGAGGGGGGGGGATGGGAGGGTGGGGAGGAGGTAGGGGGGCGCGGGGGTATGGGGGGGGTATGGGGGGGTTTGGGGGGGTTTGGGGGGGGTTTGCAGGTGGGGGTGGCGGATAAGATGAGAGTGCGGGTTGAATTGAATCCCTTCAGCAGGCGTTGCAGCACGTGGAGCACCCCGTCGCTCTAGTCATCGTAGAACAGCCGCAGCAGCATGGCCCGGGCCAGGCGGACCTCCCGCCGATCTCCCACCGAACCTCCTGCCGAACCTCCTCCGAGCCAGTAGCTGTAGGGGAGGACTTCTCCCCAGATTTGATCACAGAATCGAGCCTGTGAATCTGTGGGTTGGGGACGGGGTGGGGGCGAGAGTCTATCTTTGAGGGGCGTCAATTTTTTATTTCTCACCCCAGATGGGGAACAGATGGGGTGGGGTTGAGAGTCCATCCCGCATCGAGCATGTGAATCTGTGGGGAACAGATGGGGTGGGGGTGAGAGTCCATCCCGCATCGAGCATGTGAATATGTGGGGAACAGATGGGGTGGGGTTGAGAGGGGACTTGTTAGTGGGCGAAGAACTAGTTTGGAGGCAACTGTAGGCTGTAGCACCTATTTTGATCACGCGACCAGACTGCACTGCACCCACTGCACCACACCCCGCCCCACCCCACCACCCCGCACCACACCACACCACTCACCATTTCTTTCAGCAGGCTGCCCGCCGCCACCAATGCTGCCCGCTCGTGATTGGGCCGGGCAGCGTACTCTGCCCAGCGGGCAGAAACAAGAGCCAGCATGTCATCATCCATAGTCGCTGCTATGGGGCCGCAACCAAACGCCGCTCTCTGCTCCACCTTCTTAGAGCCTTCTTCTGCTCCCCCTGCTCCCCCTGCTCCCCCTGTTTCCGCTGCTCCCTCTAACCCAACGCCCCCAGGCCCTGCTGCTCCTCCCGCCCCTCCTGCTGCTTCTCTTCCCCCCACTGCTGCAGCCTCCTCCCCCCTGGCTGCTGCCCCCCCCCACCCCCTCAATCCGTGCATCTCCCGCTGGAAGGCAGTGAAGAAGGCAGCCACGAGGAAGAAGGCGAGGGTGTCCGAGGGCTCGAGGCCCGGGCGCCAGTTAGCCACGTCGCGACGCACCGTCTCCATGAGGACTGGAGGGGTGAGGGAGGGAGGGAGGGAGGGAGGGAGGGAGGGAGGGAGGGAGGGAGGGAGGGAGGGAGGGAGGGAGGGAGGTAGAGAGGGAAGGGAGGGGGTTGGAGAGGAGAATCGCAGTGAAGAAAGCGGCTACTAGAAAGAAGGCGAGAGTGTCTGATGGCTCGAGGCCCGCGCGCCAGTTAGCCACGCCGCGACGCACCATTTTAACACCCTGAAACGAGCAGCCTCTCAGCAAACACCCCCAGGAGGAGCAGGAGGGGGGAGGAAGGAGGAGGAGGAGGAAAAGGGGGGGGGTGTTGGGTGGGGTGGGGAGGGGTGGGGAAGAAGGAGGGCTGGAAGGCAGTGAAGAAAGCAGCCACAAGGAAGAAGGCGGGGGTGTCTGATGGCCCTAGGCCCGGGCGCCAGTTAGCCACGTAGCGACGCACTGTCTCCATGAGGACTGGAGAGGCGGGGAAGGAGGGAGGGCGGGGTGGGGAGGGGTGGGGAGGGGTGGGGAGGGGTGGGGAGGGGTGGATGGCAGGGAAGAAAGCGGCTACCCCCTCCGGCTACCCCCTCCGGCTAACCCCCTCCGGCTAACCCCCTCAATCCGTGCATCTCCTGCTGAAACGCAGTGCAGAACGCAGCTGCCAGAAAGAAGGCGTTGTAACACTCACCGTTGTAACACTCACCGTTGTAACACTCACCGTTGTAACACTCACCGTTGTAACACTCACCGTTGTAACACTCACCGTTGTAACACTCACCGTTGTAACACTCACCGTTGTAACACTCACCATCGTAACACCTCCCCATTGTACCACTGACCAACTATGTAACACTCACCATTGTAACACTCACCGTTGTAACACTCACCGTTGTAACACTCACCGTTGTAACACTCACCGTTGTAACACTCACCGTTGTAACACTCACCATTGTAACATCTTCCCATTGTAACATTGTAACACTCACCGTTGTAACACCCTGAAGCGAGCAGCCTCTCAGCAAACACCCCCAGCCGTCTTGCCGTCCACCTGCCACTCCTCCTATTGGCCCGCGCACCGCCGACCAATCCCAGCTCAGCATCCACGTCAGCATCTGATCGCCTCGAATTACCACCATTACCACCACCCCCATCGCCGTTTAATCCGCCATCCAACCCCATACCCATACCTTTCCCGACCCCGGACCCCATCCCCGTCCCCACCCCCATGCCCATGCCCATGCCCATGCCCGTGCCACTGCCCCCCATGACTCGCCGCACGGGGCCCCTCCTGACTTGGCTGAAGATGGCATGGTGCACGGGTGGGGAGAAGGGGGCGCTGGACACCGTTCTGGACTTGTCCTGTTGGTAGAGGGAGGGGTTGAGAGAGGTTGAATAGGATTCAAATGTCACTTGGCTGAAGATGGCATGGTGCACAGGCGGGGAGAAGGGGGTGGGGTGCTGGACACCGTGCTGGACTTGTCCTGTTGGAGACCACAAATAGAGGGTGGGTGGGTGAGAGGTGGGCAACATAGAGAGGGCTTGGAGTGTCTATTTTTGAGGCGCCTCACAAATAGAGGGTGGGTGGGTGGGAGGCGGGCAACATAGAGAGGGCTTGGAGTGAATTCACAGGTCACTTGGCCGAATATGGTGTGGCGCACGGGCGGAGAGAAAGAAGTGCTAGCTACACTCACAACTTTCCGAACCACCCACTCACCGCATTCCGAACCACCCACTCACCGCATTCCGGACCACATAGAGCCCGCCGAACCGGGAGTGCCGCTGCGTGATCTTCTGAGCCAGTGCCTTCCGAGCCTCCCGCTCCTTCTCCCGCCGCCGAGCCTCCGCCAGACGTTCGGCAGCCTCCCGGTCCTCCCTGGCGTCAGCCTCGGCATCAGCCTGCCCTGCACTCCGAAACGCCGCTATAGCCGCGTCCTTTGGAGGTAGTCCTTGGAAAAGGAGATTAACAACCTCGAGGAATAGGAGGTTGTCGTGGCGTAGGGAGGGGGCGGTTTCGGGGGTGTCGAGGCAGGAGATGAGGAAAAGGAGGACGTCGGGGAAGCCGCTGCGGAACAGAGCTCTGATAAAATCATCCTGACACCAGGAAAGGGGGGGAGGGGGGAGGGGAGAGTGGGGAGGGGGGAGGGGAGAGTGGGGAGGGGGGAGGGGGGAGTGGGGGGAGGATAGGAAAGAGGGAGTGGGTTTTGGAAAGGAGGGAGGGGGCGGTTTTGAGGAGGACGCTGGAGGCAAGAGTTGGTGAAGAGGAGGACGTCCGGAGAGTTCTGAGGCGCCTCAGAACCGGCTTTGGGAGGGTGCAGTAAAGAATTGGAGAAGAGGAGGATGCTGGGAAGGCCGGTTGGGAAGGAGGGGCGAATGAAATCGTCCTGGCAGAAAGAATGTGGGGAGCAGAACGGAGAGAGGAGGGAGGAGGGAGGAGGGAGGGAAAGGGGAAGAGGTAGAGAGAGGGCAGGGGAGAGAAGACGGGTGCTCGTGTGCGTATGCCGAGCCGAGCCTACCTGGAGAAAGCACAGGTGCGCCCATGCCGAGGCTGAGGACACGTCCGGCGGAGGGTCGGGGATGGCCAGGAGGTTCCGAACCAAGGTGACGATCATCTGCACCAGTCGCCAGTCGTCGCCCGTGCCACGGCCGCTGTATGTAAAGTTAGAGGGGCGATGAGGGGGGGGAGAGGGGTTTGTGATAGGGGATGGAAATGAGGCGACTCAAAACACCACTAACCAAGGCGACGATCATCAGCACCAGTCGCCAGTCGTCGCTGGTGCCACACCGCTGTAGTCGCAGCAAGGGATGCGACAAGGGGTAGGGGGTCGGTCAGTTACCGTGGAGAGGGGGTGTATTCACGGGGGGGGCAGAGGTGGGAGGTGGAAGGAAGGCGGGGCACGTGACGGAAGAACAACACCTTGGGATCATCCCAAGAAAATCCACGAGCAACAGAAGAACAATCGCAATCGCAGTCATTGTCCCCACCCACGGCGCATCGTGCAATCACTCCCCCTCCCTGTGTAATTTCAAAAATTACCTCTCGAACACTACCTTTGGATAGTCCCGAGGGGAGCCACTTTTTGAGGCGCCTCAGAACTCCCCCTCCCTGTGTAATTTCAAAATGCTTATCTCCAACACTACCTTTGGATACTCCCGAGCGGGGCGACGAGCAGTTGAAGAACGATTGCAATCGCGTCGTTCTCCCCACTCCCCATGCAATCACTCCCTCCTCCTCCCGATACAGCCCCACTCGTTACAGCGACAGCCCCGTGCAGCAGCGCGCTTTTGAATCGCCTCTGGCAGTCGCGGTGCTCGAGCGTCAGCTTCTGCTGCTGCTGCCTACCGGCTGCGTCCAAGTCAGGTGCGGGGGGTGGCGACGGCATGGTGAGGAACACGAGCAGCTTCACTGGAGGGAGGGGATCGGGCAGTGAAGGGGGGAGGAAGAGAAGGGCAATATCAGCCTCCGTTGGTCTGCTGCTGCTGCCTGCCCGCCGCGTCCAAGTCAGGTGATGGGGGTGGCGACGGCATGGTGAGGAACACGAGCAGCTTCACTGGAGGGAGGGGATCGGGAGATGAAGAAGGAAAGCTCATTTTGAGGCGCCTCGAAACTAGTTTTACTGGAGGGAGGGAATCGGAAGTTGAAGGGGAAGAGAGATAAGGCGTTTAACAGCCTCTGGCGGTCCCGGTGACTCGATACTCATCCACATGTAAGGGGCATTTACCGGCGTTGGCTTGTAGCAGCACTTACCGGCGTTGGCTTGTAGCAGCACTTACCGACGTTGGCTTGTAGCAGCACTTACCAGCGCTAGCTAGTAGCAGCACCTACCGGCGTTAAGGAGTAGGGACGAGTCGTGGCGGTATCGGCATATGATTGGAACCAAGTCAAGTCCGTCCGCACAATGTCCCACCGACCAATGCTGCTAGCGACAACGCTTACCGGCGTTAAGGAGTAGGGACGAGTCGTGGCGGTATCGGCAGATGATTGGAACCAAGTCCGAGCGTACGATGTCCCACCGTCCCAGTTGCACCAACACATCTCGCGATACGGGGTGGTCCCGCCGCATCAGCCGCTGCAGGTCGCGGAGGGAGCCTGCGAATGAGCGAGGAAGGGGGGAGAGGAGGAATGAGAGGGGGGAGAGGGGGAGATGAATGGGGGGAGAGGGGGAGATGAATGGGGGGAGAGGGGGAGATGAATGGGGGGAGAGGGGGAGATGAATGGGGGGAGAGGGGGAGATGAATGGGGGGAGAGGGGGTAGTGGAGAAAAATCCACGGAATGGTCCCGCCGCATCAGCCGCTGCAGGTCGCGGAGGGAGCCTGCGAGGAGGGAGCAGTGGAGAAAACGGGAGGTTGGACCGTAGCTTTGTCCACGGGATAGTTCGGCCGCATCCGCAGCTGCGTGAGGAGTCTATTTTTGAGGCGCCTCAATAGAGGTTGGACCGATCCTCACAGGATAGTCCGCAGCATCCGCCGCTATATGTCGCGCAGAGAACCCGAATAAAAAGAAACGGAGGGAAGTCGTAGGCACCAGCTAGCGGCATATCCATAGACAATGTGAGGACACAAACGAGGTAATCGCAAGGCGGCTGGCGAAATACTGGGGCAATCTACAGGAAATCGAGGCAGCCCTGTGGAGATTACCGATGCAATCTTCCCCCTTCTCGTACATGGTCCGCCCCTCCTCATCCTCCCATTTCCTCCCTAGCCGCGTCGCGACGCTACTGATGATACTCGGATGGATAAGAACCATGGCGATGCTACGTGCCTGAACGTCTACGCGTTTTCCGAGTCGACGCAAATTACTTCTTAGAGCCGCACGACTCCCGACAACATCCTAGTCTTTCCCGCTGCGCATCTGATCGGATCACAACTGATGAAAGAATTCCCTAAACATTTCTCTGACTAACTGTTGTCTCAGCAAATGCGTGAGCTTGACAACAGATCGTGATAGGCAAAAGCCAAATACCAAACGGCCAGCAATTGTGATTCTGGTTGGGTTTAGGGCCCATTTCCGAAAAACGCGCTCTCTGAAATCGTTAACTAAGATTTTCCTGCTGTTGGTACCCGAATTGGCTAAGTGGAGAGTGTATCAGGCCAGGCACTGGCGACTGGGCCCCTTCATTCGCCGAAACAGAGGGGGTCGAATACATGGTGAGAACGCGGCCTCAACCAAATTTGAATTTGCGAATTTCCGATTCAAGCGCGTCGGCAAAGTCCACTTTATAGGCCGACTCCCGTTCCCGGCAATATCTTCCGAACTTGTCTCGTGTAAAATTCAGCATACGCTGTCTACATAGTCCATGTGTAAAAAATGTACCCTGAGGTCTAACATTGTGATGTCGAACCATCCTTGACCTTCGAGTGTTTCTCGTCCATCCTTGACCATGTCGAATTATCGAGGGGTCTCATCCGAGCGAGTCGCAATCTATCCAATGTCAACCGCTTTGCCGAGCCGCCAATGTCGCATGCAACCTCTGCTGCCGCAACAGCCCCTCTCAACTCAACCTCCCCAACAACTTCGCTCCAACATTTGCCCCAGTCAACCCAAAATCCGGAAATTTGCCCCAGATTCCAAGGTTTTGCCCCAACATTGCTCTGCTCGGTTTGATACAACCGCCGTTTCCCCCCATGTCGCGTCAACACTGCATGGGTTCCTGCGTTGCTCATACCTCTCAGTTCCTAACGACTTGGTGCGACGCATGGCATCGGCGGGAGTTAGAGAAAGAAGCCCACGACGGGCCGATTTCTCGGTTCGAAATGGGAAAAAACCTGCCGGGTTGTTAGGGCGCAGCAAAACGCGCGCGCGAGCCACGAGAAGCCGTATAGCCATGCGTGGCCCTACAGAAAGCTGTTGAATCCTCCGACTCTCAATCCGAGAGGTTTCAGAGCCGACCTCCCTCAGAGCGCGGATCGCAGCCTCCAAGAGATCGGTGCTAACCACCTTCCCATTCCCAACCGATAGTCGTTGACCTTAACGCCTCTAACCACGTCCAACCGGTGCAAACGCGCGGCGCGGCGCGTACGAGAAAGCGTCGGGCAAGCAACCCTCTTGACTCTCAATCGCACCTCCATGCTCTACCACCGTACTCCGCCCCATGCCACACGGTTTGCTCCTTCCCGTGAACGTGACTATAAGTCAGACGGATCCCTTGCTGTTATCATCATCAGCTGAAGCACAAGCAGCTTGAGAGTGTGATCTCAAGCCTCAAACAGCTTTGAATTCTACCAGTTTCTCAGCCTCCTGCTCTCAATCCGCTTCAAAACCCGTCGTCAAAAGCCCGGATTTCCTTCACCCAGCCCAGCTCGCAGCCATGGCGCTCCCTCGTGGCCTCTCCTTCGCTTCGGCTCTCGCCCTGATTGTTCTCCTCGCGGCGTCCCTCGCCCCCGCCGCTCATGCTCGCAATGGCGCCCTCGTCTCCGACGAAGAAATCTCCAGTGCGCTCCTCGCCGCCTCTGCTGCTGCACGTTCCGGCGCGGATGGGGGTGTCCCCGGCGCCACCGCGGGCGGAGTTGCGGAGATTGCGGAGAGCATTCAGCGCCAGGGCCCGCGCATCCTCAACGTGGAGACTTATGAGGTGGACGAGCCTCTTCCCGACTACCTGAGCCACGTTGAGCCGCACCGGCGCGAGCTCCAGACCAGCTGGAAGCTCGACTCGAGTGAGTGCTGATACTATAGATGCCTGGCAGAGGATTGCTTACAAAGTGATTTGAGTGCGTGTTGCTAGCGTTAGATGACGTGGATGAGCTGAGCCCCTTCCCGACCACTTGAGCCACGTTGAGCTGCACCGGCGCGAGCTCCAAACCAGCTGGAAGCTCGACTCGAGTGACTGCTGGTAGAGTGCTGACGAGTCACATAGAGTGGCAGCAGTGGATCCCTTGTTGCAGTGATTGAGTGCTTGTTGCTTGCTATAGATGACGTGAGAGCTTTCATTACCAGCCTCTCTTTCTCCTCTTTCCTCTTCAAACCCCCCCTTCCCACCCCACCCCCCTCCCTCCCTTGCGCCCATTTCTTTTATCTCTAACTCCACCCCTTCCCATCCTCCCCACGCCCTCCCCCCCCCCTTTCTTCCCTACCCAGAGTGCGATGGGAGCAACCTCATTCTAGCATCCAAGTTCGTGAGCGTGTTCCACAGGGCCAACTACTTATTCAACTTCACTATGGTCAACACCTGCAAGTTCAGTCTCGTGAGCCCACTCGTGCTCTTCAACTGCTTCGACTTCGGCAACGTGCTTGTCGGATCCCTTGAGAACCCCGCCCGCAACCCCACTCAGTACCAGACGTTCCCGATCTTCGGTCCCTGCTGCAAGTACACTTATGGCCGTGGCAATTGCGCGGTTAACTTCAACAACGGTCCCAAGGGTAACATTCAGATCAGGGGGGGCCAAACCGCAAGCTTTCTCTACGCGTGGAACTTCCCTTTGAGGGCATGCAATAAGGAGCTCACCTATGCGAATGGGGATCGCTACTTTATGGACGATAGTCGCGTGGGTAAGGAGTGCGAACCGGCTCCTTTCTTCTTTAACTAGAGAGAGGGGGGGGGGGAGGGGAGTTGGGGAGTGTATTTGGGGGGGGGGGGGTGCACAGAGGGGGCTGAGTCCCCCCTTGAAGGCTGACGAGCCGACAGGGGTGGATAGGACGGTTCAGGGGACGGATGAGGATCGATCAAGGGCTTTTAGATGCTGATGTGTTACTTGTCTTTGCTACATGTCTGTGAGACTTGTTTATAATGGAATAAGGCCCTGGGTTAAATTTTCCTTCTCTAGCTCTATGTTTTACCCTGCTACAGCTGACCTTGCACCGTACCTTGTGTCCTGCTGCCCTTTCTGTCTGCCACAGTGGCCAGTACGCAGTGCACTGTTGCTTGCTGTGCGCGCCTGCCTGGTTCCATATTCATGTAGTCTTGGTAACTTGCAAGCTTGCAACGTACACCAGATTCAACAAAGGAGTGCTGCTGCTCCCTTTGCTTCACCCCACCGCCGGTTTGCTGCTTCTCTTGATGACCCTCTTGTCTGCCACAGTGGGCAGTATCACTGTGTTGCTTGCTGCACGCCTCATGACATGTTCATGCAAGCTTGCAAGCGTGGAGTGCAGTCCAGCCATATTAATGGAGTGCTGCTCTCCTTGCTTGATCCTAACATCAGTGGGGCATTGCGGCAGTGTGGCATTGCGGCAGTGTGGCATTGGGGCAGTGTGGCATTGCGGCAGTGTGGCATTGCGGCAGTGTGGCAGTGCGGCAGTGTGGCATTGCGGCAGTGTGGCATTGCGGCAGTGTGGCATTGCGGCAGTGTGGCATTGCGGCAGTGTGGCATTGCGGCAGTGTGGCATTGCGGCAGTGTGGCATTGCAGCAGTGTGGCATTGCGGCAGTGTGGCATTGCGGCAGTGTGGCAGTGCGGCAGTGTGGCAGTGCGGCAGTGTGGCATTGCGGCAGTGTGGCATTGCGGCAGTGTGGCATTGCGGCAGTGTGGCATTGCGGCAGTGTGGCATTGCGGCAGTGTGGCATTGCGGCAGTGTGGCATTGCGGCAGTGTGGCATTGCGGCAGTGTGGCATTGCGGCAGTGTGGCATTGCGGCACTGTGGCATTGCGGCACTGTGGCATTGCGGCAGTGTGGCATTGCGGCAGTGTGGCATTGCGGCAGTGTGGCAGTGCGGCAGTGTGGCATTGCGGCAGTGTGGCATTGCGGCACTGTGGCATTGCGGCACTGTGGCATTGCGGCAGTGTGGCATTGCGGCAGTGTGGCAGTGCGGCAGTGTGGCATTGCGGCAGTGTGGCATTGCGGCAGTGTGGCATTGCGGCAGTGTGGCAGTGCGGCAGTGTGGCATTGCGGCAGTGTGGCATTGCGGCAGTGTGGCATTGCGGCATTGTGGCATTGCGGCAGTGTGGCATTGCGGCAGTGTGGCATTGCGGTAGTGTGGCAGTGCTACTGCCTGCTGGTTGCTGCTGCTGCCGCACTGCCCCTAGCCACAACAATGGAGTGCTGCTTTCCTCACTTGATCTTGCCACCACGTGTACCAAGTTCTCCGTGGTGGTTAGCGGCGAAGATCAAGTGAACAATGGTTCGCCGTGCCTAACTTGCTGCTGCACTGCCGCACTGCCGCACTGCCACCAGCAGTAAGCAACGAGCAGGCAGTAGCATACTGTTGGCTGCTGCTAATGGAGTCTGCTCTCCTTGCTCGATCCCACAACTGCAACAACCGGGTGCGGCGTACTGGCGGCGTACCTGCGGCGTGCCTGCCCTGCTGCCATACTGTTGCCATGGCATGGAGTAGCAAGCTGTTGCTTGCTTGCTGCTACGCGCTTGAGACTGTTGATAGATACCGGCACATGCAAGGTTGCAGGCTAGCTATGCAGGCCAGCCACAAGAGCATATTTTACTCAGGCTTGTATGTACCTATCAGTGTAATTCGGATCTGATTCCCCTGTCTGGGGAGCCAAGGGACTGCTGTTTATGGAACCTCAGAAGCATGAAGGACCAGGACTTCCTGCCATACCTGTCAGAAGACTAGGATGCTAGGAACAGTAGACGACCATGTAATGGCGTAAGGGTTTAGCTAGGAGAGGAAGTTGACGAGAGAAAAAGAGAGAGAATAGAAGAGAGAGGGATACAAGGAGGGGGGCTGTACCCTCTACAGTAGGTTTCAGTAACACCTACCAAGCCTACCAATTATATATCAAATATATAATTTAACAATACCATCCTCCTCACTAACAAGTGCTCTGCTATTGTAGAGAATGGGTGACCCCTCTGTGTCGCTACAAACCTCGAGGCGAGGTCCAAACCAGACCAGACCCAGTACACCATTGCTTGGTTTCCACGACAAAAAAAATGCTGACTGGCACACACTGGTGCAGGGACTGCTGAGCTGCACCAGCTCACATCGAGAGACATACAAGACACCCAGAACAGATTCAGAAGTTACAATGGAAAATACACAAGAATGGACTGTACAGAACAAAGCAAGGCTGTTTGAGGAGCAACATTACAGCTCCCTTGCTAAAAAACGCTTCGATTCGATCTTTGCTGCTCAAGAGCAGGCTCTCACTTAACAAACTTAAGGAGCAGCACAGCAGCAGGCACCACCAGCAGCGACGACATCACCAGAATACCCACAAGCACCACACACGACCAATGCCAACTCCTCCCCTCCCCCCCCTCCTCCTTCCCCCCTCCCTCACTGCCCATCACCAGGTAAGCAGAAGGGGCCCCCACCCCTGCCCCTGCCCCTGCTCTCCCCTCCCCTCCCCCCTCTGGAATCCCACCAATCCGCTTCCTCGCTTTTGCCAGCTCATCCCCCCCTATCCCGCTCTCCAGTTGCCACACCAGCTCCTGAATCCCCTCCTGCAGCCGCGCCAGCCTGTCACCGACCCGCGCTGACAGCTGCTGACGCGCCGCCAGCTCAGACACGAGCCGTTCCACGTCAGCGTCGAGCCCTCCCACCCCCGAGGTGGATTGGGCTGGGCGGAGGGAGGGGAGGGAGGAGAGGGAGGAGCAGAGGAGGCGGGAGAGCAGGCACTCGGGCGTGGCTGGCGAGCAGAGCTGCTCTATCAGGTCGTTGGAGGGGGGGACGCCCTGTCACGTCTGTGTATCTGAGGGGGGGGAGGGAGGGAGAGGAGGGAGAGGAAGGAGAGGAGGGAGAGGAGAGGGGTTAGTACCACAAGGGAGGGAAGGGAAGGAGGAGAGGGAGAAGCAGAGGAGGCGGGAGAGCAGGCACTCGGGCGTGGCTGGCGAGCAGAGCTGCTCTATCAAGTCGTTGGAAGAGGGGAGGCCAGTCAAGACCGTGTATCTGGGGCCCGGGGGGTGTGGGGAGAGAGGAGAGAGGGATCAGCACCACGGGGAGAGAGGTGGGGTAAAAAAAGGGAACTGTTGGGAACCTGTACACCCCCTCACCCCCACATTCTTCTGGCAGTGTCCCTAGCGCCCTTCTTCGATCTCAGCGCCTACTTATCGACCTCACCTTCGTCTAGCCGTGTCTCTGACGCCCATGTTCAGCCTCAGCGCCACCTCCCCAGCCTCCTCAACGGTAACCCACGTTGACCCACGTTGACACACGATGACCCATAGCTCACCTGTAGAAACAAGTACCTTCGTCTGGCCGTGTCCCTGACGCCCATATTCAGCCTCAGCGCCACCTCCTCAGCCTCTTAAACGGTAACCCACGTTGACCCACGTTGACCCATAGCTCACCTGTACAAGCACGTACCTTCTTCTAGCAGTGTCTCTGACGCCCATGTTCAGCCTCAGCGCCACCTCCCCAGCCTCCCTGTGCCGCCGCCATAGCTTCTCCACCAGCGCTGCAGCCACCGACGCCCGGATGTGCCCCATAGCCGTGCCCGCTCCCCCCCTGCTGCTACTGCCGCTGCCGCTGCTGCTGCTGCTGATGCCGATCGCAGCGATGCTGCCTACTCCGGTCCCTAGCCACCCCCCAATCCCTCCAAATTTCCCTCCTCCTCCTCCCCTCTCTCCTCCTCCTCTTTCCCCTGCCACCCCTGCTTCCCCCCCCCCTCCTCCTCCTCCCCCCGCTACGCCACCGTCCTTCAACCTTCCAGCGCCGTGCATTCGGCCCAAGTGTTGGTCCTTTCTTGAGGGCTGCTCCCTGCTGTCTGATCCGTCCATAAGCAAGCCGATGCGTTCTTTCAGGCTGCCCGTGACCGTGCCTTGCAGTCGATCCAGCTCTGACGTCATCCGCTCGGACAGCTTCTGCAGGGTGAGCAAAACGGCATTTGAGTCGACTCAAAAGGAGAACGGCAAACGGAGGAGCATCAAGCACATCATTTGCAATGCAACTACAAAGTTGTTGACCTGCTCGTTACACGAACGGACCTATCGCTCGTTACAGGCACAATCGAGCCCGATATATCAATAGAAAGGAGTTCCTGGCACAAACAAAAGCGCACCTCGACGGCGTCTCTGCTCGATAATTGCCGGTAATCGTCCACAAACCCTAGCAGTCTCGCTATAGTCACTTTCACATCGCGTAGCTCCTGATCCACCTCCCCCGCTCGCGCCAAAAACTGCTCCACGTGCGCTGCTAGCGCGCCGCCCGGCGGAATCCCCGCCACTGCCGCCGTAGCTACCGCGTCGGCGCTCGCGTCCGCGTCCGCATCCCGCGGCAAAATCCGCTGCGCCACGTCATCGGACCTAGGCCCCGCTATAAGCTGCTGCTGTAACTGTCCGCATGTGCTTATGGAGGAAGTTCGCGCGGATGCGAGGTCGACTGAGGTGAAGGAGGAGGAGACGGGCGAACCGGTGTCAGCGGGTGTAACATTGGTCGTCGCGAAATGATGAGCGTTCGCCAAATTCGCCGACGCGAAATCCGCGGTTGCTAGCTCCGTCGATGCGAAAGGATCGGCAGTTGCGAAATTGGAAGGTGCGGCGAGGTGGGGGGCGGCGAGAAGGGACGGCGAAAAGGAAGGACGAGGGAGGGAGACATGGGGAAGCTTCGGGGAAGGCGGGCCGGACGGAACGTCGGATTCGAGAGCGAGGGAGAAGACGGAATCCGCGTCGTCGAGATCGTTAGAATAACGGATGGATGAAGGCCCCGGGATCTCGGAAGAGAGGCGGTGCGATCCTGGATTCTCAAGGGACACGTGTCGCGGGATTACTGGAGCAACAATTGGGCTATTTCTAGCTGACATGATGTCTTCCTTCTATACTGTGACAAGTTAAAGGGCTAAATACAGAAGTCGCAGGGATCGAGGGTGGGTTGCGGAGATAAGCAACGGGATAGAGTGCCTGACTCAGCGAGCTGATGGGTTGCTGGGCTAATGGGTTGCTGGGCTAATGGGTTGCTGGGCTAATGGCCTAAATACAGAGCTAGGCTGCTGTCTGTCTTTCACTCGCAGGTGACCTACTAGTAAACCACCACCCTGTTTTACAAATCGCTCGATTTAGTCACACCCACTAACGGATGATATCGCTTCATCCAGGTTCGTATCGTGAGATGAGGACACGGAGGTGCGTAGTCTCCACGCATGGGTCTAACAAGTTGCGCAACGGCCCTACGATCTTATTTCCATGATCGAACCGAGCTAAGAGGATCACCCACGTCGACTGGAAGCAAGGAAGCTGCAACTTCGGAAGCCGGACGCGGTTATTACTAACATAGGATAACTAATCTACCTCCGAGCAGGATGTAGGCTCTACAGAACCTATGGCCTTGTGCTACAGCCTCAAATTCCGCCTTCGAGGAATGGGAAAAGGTCAGAGGACCGTAGGACCACCTGAGACTGTTATACAGCACCTCCAAGCTAGACTGTTACTGCTACTCTTGCGGCATGCGAGTCCCTGAGCGTATGTCAGATTGCGGTTGGATGAGGTGCTTTTGGCGTCAGAAGGGTCGAATAATCATCTGGCACGGTTGGGTAGGGTATTGAGCAAAAATGTGTGCTTCCAGTTCCATTCACAGGACCAGTTTCGGCTAGTAGCCGTTAGAGCTCCGATTGCCATTCGGTGTTTCTGAGGACCGCATGGCCGTCCAAGTTACGCTGCTGGGGGCAGCTGGCAGACGGCGACCGACCGTCGAGGCTCAGCCATTGGACGAGCGAATATTGAGCGGTAGAAAGCGAATTTTTGTCGTCTACAATTGGTCGTTGACTGTCCCACATTGGCAATCGAGCTTCGTCGAAGACCCCTCGCTTGCGAAGGTCAGCCGCTTACTGGAGGGTAACCAGCTTTCGTCATGACTGTCAGCACTCGCACGCCAGGGGTCGCGGGGAGAGCTCGCGAAAGCACGAGAGTTCGTATAAGCTGGAACCACGAACAGGGCATAGCGCTTGCCCATTCTGCAGCGACACCAGGGAATCATGTACAGTAAATCCCCGGTACATGAAGTGCCAAATGAAATACTCCATGCTGGTTCATGCATTTACATAGGTACTAGTCACTCAGGTTAGACCAACTAAGCTCCCAATTTGAAGTGGACATGCTAGTCGGTGTTGAACCTTACCAATTGCACGTAAGGCAACAGGCCACAAATGGAAATACAGGTGGGAACCGAAACATGCACTATTGGATAGAACATGACTCTCCTTGCTGCACAGAGGTGCTGCTGCTGCTAGAGCAATATTCTAAAAGCATCGGGCGGAGCACAGCAAGAGGTGCTGGAGAGACACACAAAGGTTTACAGACGGCGACCACGGCGACCACCTTTTTTGCGAGTGCTGTCCGTGGGAATGGGGGTCACATCCTCTGCATGACAAACAACAGTATGTAACAAACATCCATAGACAAGAGCACAGTTAGAAACGCCATGCCATGAGGGACAACAAAGCTTACCCGCACATTATGCAATTGATGTGGCAAGGGAAAGTGGTTGTACCAATGCGGCCAATCTTGAGGCCGGAACGGGCGAGAGCGCGGATGGCGGACTGGGCTCCAGGGCCGGGCGTCTTGGTGCGGTTGCCTCCCGTGGCCCTCAGCTTGATGTGCAGCCCCGTGATGCCCAGCTCCTGGGGGGGTAAGAGGCCGGGGAAGGGCAGGGACAGGGGGAAGAGAACAGGGGGAGGGGACAGGCGAACAAGTGAGGGGACGGCGGACTGGGAACCAGGTGTGAGACCAGAGGAGCGGTCGCCTCCCGTGGCCCTCAGCTTGATGTGCGGCCCCGTGATGCCCAGCTCCTGGGGAAAGACGGGGGAAGGGAGGGAGTGACAGAGGACAGAGGGGCCGAGATTAGAGTCATCTTGGACGGCCCAAAGTGCGGGGACAGGAAGGGCCAGGCGTGGCCCTCAGCCTGATGTGCAGCTCCGTGGTGCCCACACCTGTTCGAGAGAGGAAGTGAGGGGTGGAGGGGAGGGGGGGGGAAGGGGGGGAGGGGAAAGAGGGAAGATAACGGGGGGGCGGGGAGGGAAAATGACCCCATGGGAATGTTAGCTGGAGTGTGCGATGATGGTGTTTCCATGGTGCCAGCTAGCTCATGGCGGAGCTGGGGACGGGAGAGAAAGAAAGGACGGGGAGCAGGATTGGTGCCGAGTGTATGATCACTGGGAGGGGGGAGTGGGGGGTGGGGGGGGTGGGGGGACGATGTGCAGCACTGTGATGCGCTGTGCGCCAGCTAAGCAGAGAGGGGAGACGAAGGGTGGCAGATGCCCCCTGACGCCCGGCGTGTAGAAGTGGTGCGTCAAGAAAAAACTAAATAGAAGAAAAAAAATGATGTACAGTACCTTGCACTTGATCGCCACGTCTTGCGCTGCAAGCATAGCCGCGTATGGGGACGATTCGTCGCGATCGGCCTTCACCTTCATGCCGCCTGGCCGCCACGCAAAACGGGCAAAACGAAGACAAGGTGACAAAACGCCGGCGGGGGGGAAGAGCAGCTTGAGTGAGTGGGTACGGAGGGCAGGAGAGAAGCGGCAGGGAAGGGGAGAGTGTCTGGGAAGAGCAAGGAGTTGGTATCTGCACACAAGGTCCCTGACACGCCTTCATCTGGTGACCATGTGCCACAGAAGAGGCGAGCGGGGGGGGAGGGAGGAACGACAGCAGAAGAACGGTCTAATCGACATCGGCCCGATCTTGGCTACACCAGCAGGCGTTCGAACTGGATTTCACGGCTGCGGAGCAGAAGGGAAAGCCTGGCTACGTGGCCTGCTAACGGCAACCCGGCCTGCTAACGGCTACGTGGCCTGCTAACCGCTAATCTACGCTGCTCCGCTGCAACGGCTGTTACTTGAACCTGCTCCTGCAACTTGTTCCTGAATCTTGTCACTGAAACACGGATACCCTTGGCTTTGAGTTCCCACTATCCGACGTACTGCTACACTGTGCTATGAACGACCGGGTAACCCTAACCCGCCGGAAAGGCTCCCTAACCCGTCGCCAAGGCTCTCGAAAGTACGCCGAGAGCCCGACACCGGATTTCTAACGTCGGAGCCCCGTTCGATCGATCATCTAGTCTTCAGAGAATCGCTAAACCAGCGGGCTTTCGATCTCAAAACGTACGTTAACGCAGATTGTTCTAACAGTAGGGCGAACGTGGTTCGGATATAGATGATGGACAGTCGCCTTACGACATATCGGATTGCAGGAAAAGGGGGACATACCAGTAACTCGGCACATGGTTTCCTTGCCGGAGAGATCCGTCACGTGCTGCAGATAGGATGAGGGAAGAACGGTGGGTGGTCGAGAGGAGAGGAAAGGGAGGGTGGAGGGTAAGAGGCAAGGAAGAGAGGCGAAGGGAGGCGAAGTCGCGGAAAAAAAGGAGAAATTTTCGAAAAGAACCGAAGATGCGGTTGGACGAGCACAAGCACAGGTACGAACAGAACACGGATTTTATTTAACCAAAAAAAAAACAAAAAAAAAACACACACACACACACAAACAGACACTGTCAGGACATACGGGAAACGCACTGAAGCACAAAATGTTACTGACCACGAAGGTGTCGTTGAAGGACGCGAAGATGTGCGCGACGCCGAAGACGATCTCGCCCTCTCGCACCTGCGGACCGGCGGGGCCCTTCTCCTCCTTCACATCTTTCACTCGTTTCTTCGACGACTGCGCACGAAACGGGGAGATGAAGGCGACGCGGAAACAACGGTGATTCATTAGGGTTCTCAATAGGCACCTGCGGGCCGGCGGGGCCCTTCTACCCCTCCACATATTTCACCCGTTTCTTCGACGACTGAATAAATGTAAGGCAAGAAAGAGAGGAAAGGCGAGAAAGAGAGAAGATTTACACAGAGGAAGAGGCGGGGACCAAGGCAGAAGGAGAACGACGAGACAAGGATAGAAGGAGTCGGGAGGTCGAGATGGATTGAGGGGAGTGGGGCAAGGCACACCAGCGAAAACGGGGAAAAGAGTGGGGGAAAACAGTGCGATGAGGACACGCGGGAGGGGTACCGGAGTGAGGAGAGATTTAAAGGACACAAGACAGGGAAGCAATGCGTGAGAAGGTGGGATCAGGCACACGGAAAGCTACAGGATCGAGTCTCGCCCGAGCTGCTACGCGACCTAGCCCCTCAGTGACACGCGAATTTGTGTAATCGAGGAATCTAGCCTCTAAATAATGGGGGAACCTGGGGAATGAGTCTCGCAGACTACGCTGCGGGGGCCTGCGCAAGCCCCTGCATGCTAAGAGAATCAGAACCGTCACGCTAAGGGAAAACAACCAAGACAAATGCACGTTCTTCCGCACACCTGCGGAACGAGCCCAAAACCCCTCTACGTACATCCACACTAGAGACACCAACCAGCCAGTACTCTAAACTCAACCATACGAAAGGAGAACCAATCAGGGTGCAGGAACTTGCCATGGCTGTTTTGCTGTGTGTAGCAGAGCGGAGGGGCCGCTGGGAAGAAGGGAAACCCTAACGACTGGAGAGAGAGGAGGGAGAGAGAAAAGGAGGCGAAGATGAAAGAGGAGGTGGAGAAGAAGCAGGGTGAGAAGCCAGCAATTCCCAAGGCTAACAGAAACGCCTGTGGCGAAGATTTGTGCTACATTTTCTATTTCGCAGCCGATGAGTTACAGATTTCGAAGAACGCTGGTGGCGAAGGCGTGGAAGGGTTCTGGTGTTTTGGGTTGCCTCTGACGCTTGACGTTGGACGTGACGGTCGCCGTCAACTTCTCGCCGTCAGACAGGCGCAACAGGCGCAAATCCTCAGCAGCAGTGGCGTGATGCTTTTCGGTCGTCGCGAGGAGCCCATGAACCAGTTAGCCGAAACTATATATATCGGATAGGGAATACACTTCATACATTCAATTAAATATCTCTGCCATGTAGTGTGTGCCATAGCCATGCAATTTTCTCTAGGTCCCGGCCGACATGTAGTATGCAAGTCATGCACGCGCGCTCATGAGAGATGCCCATGCTGGCGTAGACGTAAGATTTGTGGTTGAAATGCTATGGCATAAGGTTGCTTAGACACAATGCGGCGGCCAATCTGATGTATTTCATACGTAAGCCACCTTACTAGCTTCCTCTACGACACGCGGTATGGACCAAACTTGTCAAAATTAAGCTAAAAATGGCAGTTCACGCTACATTTACTTCTTTTTGCCAGCTGCCGCAGCAGCAGGAGCGGGCGGCACCTCCTTATCCTCAGCAGCAAGGTTGAGCAGCAGCGAATCAGACGAGAGGAAGACCCGGTTGCTGCTGTTGGCTAGCGTGTTGGCGATCTCCCTCGCCGCTTCAATCTTCCTCAGAGTGATGAAGGACGGGTTGTTGGCGATGGCCTCTCCAATCAGCTGGGCGCTCGTGGCTTCTCCCTGTTGAGTGAAGAAACGGGGGGAGGGGAGAAGAAAACCAGAAAACGCAGTGGGGAAGTGGGAAAGGAGAGAATGGTCGCTGGAGATGGCCTCTCCAATCAGCTGGGCGCTCGTGGCTTCTCTCGTGGCTTCTCTCATGGCTTCGCTTGTGGCTTCTGCCTGTCAGGGGACCACAGGGGTAACGAGACGGGGGTGGGAAGGCAGGCAGGGAATGCATGGTGGGGAGAGCGTTGGCTTCGCTCATTGGCAGGAGGGGAATGCATGGTGGGGAGAGCGTTGGCTTCGCTCGTTGGCAGGAGGGGAATGCATGGTGGGGAAAGCGTTGGCTTCGCTCGTTGGCAGGAGGGGAATGCATGGTGGGGAGAGCGTTGGCTTCGCTTGCATGGTTGGCAGGAGGGGAATGCATGGTGGGGAGAGCGGCGTTGGCTGTATCGCCCTTGCTGCCTCGATCTTCCTCCGAGTGATGAACGGCGGGTTGTTGACGATGGCCTCTCCAATCAGCTGTGCACTCGTGGCCTCTCCCTGTTGTGAGTGAAAGAGAACAGGGGGAGAAGGGGGGGGTGGGGGGGAGGGAAGGCATGGCTGGGACAAGAAACAGTGACAAACAGCGGGTTACTGGCAAAGCTCGTGAAATAGTTGCTGCCACGTATTGACGACATGGCACCTAACTGGTGTTCCATTGGGGGGGGTGGGGGGAAGGCATGGTTGGGACAAGAAACCGTGACAAACGGCAGGTTACTGGCAAAGGTCCAACACGCTGCGCACTCATGGCTCCCCCGTGCCGGAGAGGACGAGGGGGGGAGAGGTAGAGAAAAGAAGGGGAAGCAGAGGAGGCACCAAGGCATGGTGGGAAGAATCGGTGGCAGCAGAGGGAGCAAGGGAGGGAGCAGTTAGCCACAATTATAACTGTCTCACTTGAGCCAAAATAACAGCTCGCCTGTCCTGCTCTGCCTCTTGCACCACAAACCTGGACCCCTCTCTGCTTCCTTTGAGTGTGCTTCCTATGAACATCCACACGGCTGCAATGCTCACCTGCGCCCGAATGATCACTCCGCGCTTGTCCTGCTCCGCCTTCGGCACCACGAACCTGGCCCGCTCTGCCTCTTTAAGGAGCCCCCAAGATGCGCACCCACGAGAAAACACACCTGCCGGCACACCTGCCTACCCGCTCGCCTGTACAGGCGTGGCGCTCACCTGAGCCCTGATAATGGCTCCGCCCTTGTCCTGCTCGGCCTTCTGCACCACGAGCTTGGCCCACTCTGCCTCCTGAAGGAGCCTCAAGACGCGCACCCACAGACCAACACACACACATGCAACCAAGGCCCACCTGCGCTCGAATGATCGCTCCGCGCTTGTCCTGCTCCGCCTTCTGCACAACGAACTTGGCCCGCTCTGCCTCCTGCGCTGCCACTTGCTTCGCCTCAATGGCTGCCGTGAACTCGCGGCCGAACGTGAGGTTGGTGATGGACACATCGTCCAGAGCAACGTTGAAACTGGCGGCTCGGTCCTCCAGGATACGCCGGATCTCCCGACTCACGGACTGCCCGAAAAGGGTAAGGGGCGGGGCGAATGGGGAGGCGGGACGGGGGATGGGAAGAGGAGAGAATGGGAAAGGGGAAGGGTGGAACAGGCTCTGCCCCCTGTGCCGCCACCTGCTTCGCCTCGATGGCTGCCGTGGACTCGCGGCCAGTGAGGTTGGTGATGGACACATCGTCCAGAGCGACGTTGAAACTGGCGGCTCGGTCCTCCAGGATACGCCGGATCTCCCGACTAACGGACTGCCCCAAAAGGGTAAGGGGCGGGGCGAATGGGGAGGGAGGAAGGGGGAAGGGGAAAGGAGAGAATGGGAAAGGGGAAGGGTGGAACAGGCTCTGCCTCCTGTGCCGCCACCTGATTCGCCTCGATGGCTGCCGTGAACTCGCGGGTAAGGGAACGGGCTGGAATTGCATAGGAAAGACGCATGAGGAGAGGGGCGATGGCTGCTGTGAACTCGCGGCCCAATGTGAGGTTGGTGATGGACACGTCGTCCAGAGCTATGTTGAAACTGGCTGCCCGGTCTTTAAGAATGCGCCGGATCTCACGACTCCAAACTGGCGGAAAAGGGGGGGGGGTGGGGGAGGGGAGGGAGAAAGACGAGGGGAAGGGGAGAAGGGGCGTGAAAAGGGCAGCAATGGCTGCTGTGCACTCGCAACCGAACGCCATGTTGGTGATGGCCATCGAGAGCACAGCTTTTGAGTCGACTCAAAAGCCGTTGATCGATCCTCAACGGCCACGTCATCAAGAGCAATGTTGGCAACCTCCCGGTGCGTCCTAAGATTAGGACAACCTCCTCCTGGCAGATTAGGTCCTAATCTTATCTGGCAACCTCCCTCCTCCTGGACAACTGAACTCACCACCTCATGATACACTCACGCACCTCTCAGTATAGTCACACACCCCTCGATGACTGACGCATACCTCTCGCTGCGTGATGAGCTGGCTGGCGTTGTACTGCGCCACCACCGAATTAAGAGTCTCCTGGACGATCAACGGCAGCAGCTTCTCTTCCCATCCCCCATCCTAATCTCCCCACCCCCGGCCCTCATCCCCCACTAATGAATTATGCACTCCAAGGGGGCGATCAGTGTACCTCTCGCTGCGTGATGAGCTGGCTGGCGTTGTACTGTGCCACCACCGAATTAAGAGTCTCCTGGACGATGGACGGCAGCACCCTTGTTCACGGCATGACCCCCACTCTCACTCTCCCCGACCCCCACTCTCACGATTTTTGAGGCGATTTTTGAGGCGCCTCAAAAATTCTCCCCGACCCCCACTCTCATGTCGGATGTTAACGCCCTCCCCTTACAATCACATACCTCTCGCTGCGTGATGAGCTGGCTGGCGTTGTACTGCGCCACCACGGACTTGAGCGTCTCCTGCACGATCGACGGCAGCACGCGCTCGGCGTAGTCCTGACCCAAGGTGCGGTAGATGGTGGGGAGACGGTCGGACATGGGGCGAGTCAGCACTCGCAGGGTGATACGGACCTGCAAGGTGCCAGAGGAAAGGGGAAAGGAAAGGGGCGAGAGAACAGAAGGGGGGAGAGAGTGACAGACAATGAGCACCTTTCCGCGTCGTCCTGCCCCAAGGTGCGGTAGATGGTGGGGAGGCGGTCGGACATGGGGCGAGTCAGCACTCGGAGCGTGATTCGCAGCTGAGGGAGAGCAGGGAAGAGGAGGGGAGAGGGGGGCGGGAGGGGGGACGGGAAGGGGAGTGAGGGAGACGGCAGCACCCTTTCAGCGTCGTCCTGCCCCAAGGTGTGGTAGATGGTAGGGAGGACCCTTTCAGCGTCGTCAGCACTTGGAGCGTCCTGGTGTATTTTGAGCCGACTTGGAGTCGGCTCAAAATACACCTTTCAGCGTCGTCCTGCCCCAAGGTGTGATAGATGGTAGGGAACAGGGAGGGGGGGGAAGGGAGAGGGGAAAGGGGGGGGGAGGGAAGGGCGGAGAGATGGACCAGGGCGAGGGCAGGGGGGAGGGGAGATAGAGCAAGAAATAAAGGGATGGGGGAGGGGAGGGGGAAGGGAGGGGGAGGGGAGGGGGAGGGGAGGAGAAGGGGAGGGGGAGGGGAAACTTTGTTGCTGTGAACCGTGAAGACGTCTTTCAAGAAATGAGGAGAGGACGCTAAGCAATACACTGTCGTGCCATCCAAACACGGCAACCTACCCGCAACAGGACAAGCCCAGCCACACAGCACAAAAGGGGCCCACCATCTGCAGGTCGCGGCTGCCGGACGTGCTCTCCACCAGATGAGGCCGCGCCCTCACGTCGTAGATGATGGGCCACTCAATACCGGGGATGATGAAGTGCGTGCCCTCCTGGTACACCTGTGGGTAGGGGGGGAGGGGGGGGGGGAGTGAGGGGGGAAAGGAGACGTGCGGGGAGATATGGTGAGTGGTGTTGCGCCCTCACGGCGTAGACGATGGGCCACTCAATAACGAGGATGACGAAGTGCGTGCCCTCCTGGTACACCTGCGGAGCAGGGACGGGAGAGCAGAGGACCGGAGGGGGGGAGAGTAGTTTTGAGGCGCCTCAAAGGAGCAGCAGAGCAGCTTTTGAGTTGACTCAAAAGCAGACTGGAGGAGAGTAGTTTTGAGGCGCCTCAAAGGAGCAGCGGAGCAGGTCAAAACTAGACCTGCGGAGCACGGACGGGAGAGCAGAGGACTGGAGGGGGGGAGAGGGACCTGTGAGTGATAGGCGCGGCTGTGGGGTCTCGCCCCACGTTGTAGATGATGGGCCACTCAATACCGGGGATAATAAAGTGCGTGCCCTCCTGGTACACCTGTGCGTTGTGGGAGCATGGGGTGCGAACGAGGGGAAACGATTTAAGGACAGAAAGAGTGGGGTTTCGCACTCAATACCGGGGATAAAGAAGTGCGTGCCCTCATGGTACACCTGTGCATTGGGAAGGGATGGGGTGCGCAGGGGAAACGCGCGGTTATGGCGGGGAATGCGCGCAAAGGGGAAGGGAGGGGAGGGGAAGATTGGGGCTCGCAGCAGAAGCCTCATGCGGAAAATCGTGCAGCACCGCACTGAGCCACTCCACACCGTGTCCTTAATCCCGAAGAGTCCGTTGAAGAGGATCGCACGGTGGCCTCCGGGCACGTAATACAGACTACGCACAGCACCGTACGGCACCGCACCGTACAGCACCGCACTGCACCGTTCTATACCGACCCATACCATGTCTTTAATTCCGGAGAATCGGTTGAAGATGATCGCGCGGTGACCGCCCTCCACGTTATACAGACTGTGCATGGCACCGTACAGCACCGCTCCGCCAATCACCGCAGCGCGAAGCACCGATCCGATCGCGCCGCCAGCCCCGGGCGGCACTTTCATGTTCTTCATCGCCCCGAGATTCATGGCGGCTCGACTGGCGGATCTAAAAGTGGCTCGACTAGCGGTTCGGATCTAGGGATCCACTAGCAGATCGACTAGCGGATCTGCGAGTGGCGCCTCGACAAGCGTATCAGATACCGGATCTAGGGTTCCGATAGCGAATCTAGAGCTTCCGGATCGACCGGTCGAGGAGAATCACGGTAGATCCGGGTGTCAGGTATCGAATCTAGGGCTCCGAATCGCGATACTAGAGTATCGTATCGTATCGTATCGCTGCGTTTCGGAACCTAAGAGGGTCACACGGCGACTGAGACCGGAGGGGCTTGGCGCGCTGCTGGTCGCGCACTGCTGCTCGCGCGAGACTGGTCGCGCGCTGACGGCTGCTGCTGACCTCCGGCGTGGGGAGGAAGAGAGCTTTATGCAGGAATGCTAACGCAAGCCGCGAAGTGCTTCGGCGGTAGTGGCGGGCGAAGGAGCGGATGAGACGGGCGGAGGGCCGGAATGAGACACGACGGAAGGAGCGGGGTGGCGGGGTTCCAGTTGCGATTGCGATTGCGGCTAGATTCCTGTTGACTTGAGGAAACAAAGCTCCCCAGCAGTGAAGAAGAGGAGGAGAAGCAGGGCAGGCGACGCTGCAGCAACGTCGAGAAAGCTCGACAGGGGGGCTATGGCTGCCAGAAACCCGCAGCTCGACGATAGCCCTGGCACACGCAACCTCGCTGGTAACAACTGCACTGCGCTTCTTCTGCAACATTGGCTGGATTCTGAGAAAATACTCGCACTTAGTGATGCCATCTTTTTGACACATTTAGTCAAAAGGCGGGAGGCAACTCCAAGAAAACCTACCTGCATTTAACTAAAAGCGCTGTTGCGGCCTGCTGTAAATAGCCGGGCGCGTGTTTCCTTTACTCGGAACACGGCCGGACCTAGGTGTGGGTTTGGTGAGAAGCCTCGGTGATTGTGACGAGGGTGGACTCCCGCAGACCCAGTAAATACCCGTTATTGAGGTTTGGTGAAGCAGAGAGGGATGGACAAGGTCAGGTAGTAAGTTGCTGGAAATGATTTTCTATCCACATTGTTGATACTATTTTTGGCATCCCAACAATTGGTTTCCGCATCCACGGGCCTCAGCACACAAGGCTCCACAAAAATTCAGTGGGGGTGCTTTCAAGCCAGTGTCTAACACTCCACAGAGAAAATCCTTACGACAAAATTCTGTTGACTTCTTGATCGAGCAAACACATCACTCGGATTTGGCTTTTGGTGCCGCATCAGCGAGGTATGAGAGGAGTTGGTGGCCAGGGATGGCTGTGAGGACAGCGAGGAGTACAATGAGCTTGAGAGTGGTGAAGAGGTTCACCTGAGGCAAGGATTACAACAAAGAGAGGGAAATAGGATAGGAAGGTATGTAAATGGCAGTGGAAAATACGGAAGAGCAATTTTGGATGGAAGGTGGATTAGAGGAAGGGATCTGAAACGTGGAATGGGAGCCAACGAGTTGGCATCACGCAATGGATGTCACCGATGACTGTACTCTTCATTCTGCACGTGCTTCGTGAACGCATGTGACCCAATCCAACATACCTGCACCCAGAAAGCCACATAGAGCAGCAGTAGAGCGGCAATCCCGCCATGGAAGGCCATAGCTGAGAGCAGAGGCACACCGGACGAGGGGAAGGCCTTGAGATTCACTCCTAGCACCGCCAGCTGAGGGGTAGGGAGGGAGGGAGGGTACGGGTGAACAGCGAGTGGTTAGTGAGGCGAGCGAAAGAGCAGATGAGTGGTTAGAGAGGCGAGAGAAACAGCAGGAGAGTGGTTGGTGTCCCCATGGTAACACAGACCCAAGAAGGGGAAGGCCTTGCAAGGGGGGGGGGGGGTGCATTCAGGTCCAGTTTGGCACCACCAGCTGAAGGACGGAGTGAGGACAGGGGAGTGATGGCTGACAGCTGGATGGCGGATGGATGGCAGATGGATGGGGGATGAATGGCAGATGGATGGCAGATCGATGGCAGATGGATGACAGATGGATGACAGATGGATGACAGATGGATGGCAGGACACGAAAAGGGATGCGAGGCAATCTGAGGAGAGCGCCGGTGCCATGGAAAAAGCAGAGCGGACAGACTGCCAATTCAGCTCAAACCACACAGCTTAAACAACACAGCACCACACCTACCCCCACCTCCCCATGCCACACACACCCCCACAAGAAAAAGGAAGTCTCAACATGACGCACACCAAACGTCACACATACCCCCACAAGAAGGAAGTCTCAACACGAGGCACACCAAACAGCACACATACCCCCACGAGCAGCACCACCAGCGGCAGCAGCACGAGCGCAACAAACGTGTACGAGACGACGAACGCCGGCCGCGAGTCCGGCTTGCGGAAGATGTGCGCAATCTCCGGCTTGGCGGCAAAGCGCTCCGCCAGGGGCGTGGGCCGCGGGGGCAGCTTGGGGGCGGTCTCGGGGGGAGAGGGCAGGTCGAGGTCGACGGTGCCGAGCTGCCAGGCGAAGGAGTTGTCCATGGCCTCGTCCCCCACTATGAGATTCAAAGTATATTCTCCAGAGTGGTAGAAGAGACGCTCCATCAGCTCCAGGAGCTCCTGTGGGGTGAATAGGGAGGGAGTGACAGAGAGAGAAAAGCAACAGAGTTGTTGGAACGTGAGGGCAGCTTGGGGGCGGTCTCAGGGGGGGCGGGCAGGTCGAGGTCGACGGTGCCCAGCTGCCAGGCGAAGGAGTAGTCCATGACCTCGTCTCCCACTATGAGGTTCAGAGTGCACTCGCCCGAGTGGTAGAAGAGTCGCCCCATCAGCTCCAGGAGCTCCTGGTGGGACGAAAAGGGAGTGGCGGAAGGAGATCAAAGCAGCAGCGTTGACGGTAGAGGCATGGAGCGCGGGGGCAGCTTGGGGGCGGTCTCAGTGGGAGAGGGCAGGTCGAGATCGACGATGCCGAGATTATCCGTGATCTCGTCCCCCATGATGAGATTCAGAGTGCACTCGCCAGAGTGGTAGAAGAGATGTTCCATCAGCTCCAGGAGCTCCTGGTGGGTTGGAATAGGGGGGCACGGGAGTGAGGCAAGAGAGAAATGCAGGAGAGTTGAGGGGTGAGGGCTGGTTCAGGTTGACTCGACTGTGCTGAGCTGGCAGGCGAAGGTGTTGTCCATGGCCTCGTTCCCCACTAACAGGTTCAGAGCGTACTCGCCCCAGTGGTAGAAGTGACGCCCCATCAGCTCCAGGAGCTCCTGGTGTGGTGAACGGGGCGAGAGCACAAGGGGAAGTGAGGGCGGGAAGAGCAGGGCAGCTTCAGGCTTGGCTGCACGGGACCCGCCGAAGTGGTAGAAGAGACGCCCCATCAGCTCCAGGAGCTCCTGGTGGGGAGGAAAGTAGAGTAAGGGAGGGAGTGAAGCGAGAGAGGAATGCAGGAAAGTCAAGGGGAGAGGGCGGGTTGAGATCCACCGTGCATCGCTAGGAGCTGGGGGGGGGTTCCACCAGCCCCAGGAGCTCCTGTAGGGAGGAGGGAGAGAGGGTGAAGTGAGGGAGTGAAGTGGGGGAGTGGGGTGGGAGAGGGTGAGCGGGGGGGGGGGGGGGGGAGAAGCTGGGGAGTGAGGCAAGAGAGCGGGACGAAAGAAAGACGGCGGCGGTTGGACCGTGGAGGTGCACTGCGATACCCCGCCTTGCGATTCAGGGAGGGCATGCGCTAGGTGCCACTCACGAGCTTCACAGAAAGGGTGCCGGAGAGCTTGAGCAGGAAGGAGTCAAGTCTGCGAATAGTGGCAGGCACCCGCCCTGACCTTGGGGGATTCATAAAAACCAAATGCTACAAGGGCATAAGGTGCCACTCACGAGCTTCACAGAAAGGGTGCTGCCGGAGGGCTTGAGCAGGAAGGAGTAGGCCATTCCGATGGAGTTGACGAGCTGGAGCACTGCCTGAGGGACGGGAGGGAGGAGTGGAGGGGGGAGAGGAGGACTTTTTGAGTTTGCAGGGTGTTTTTGAGAATTCTCAAAAACACTCAAAAATCATCAGCTGGAGCACGGCCTGAGGGACGGGAGGGAGGGGTGGAGGGGGGAGAGGAGGACGGCGAGGGAAGAAAGGGTGTTGAGGCACTCAGAGGAGGGTTTGAGTGGGAAGGAGTGGGCCGCGCCAATGGAGTTGACCCGCTGCAGCACTGTCGGGCAGCATGAGAGAGAGGTGACTTCAAGTGTATCTGGTGTGCCTGGTTGCTATGTGTGCTGTGCCAGGTTACTCTGTGTGCTTCGCACCCCTTACCTGATGAGGAGTGAAGTGCTTTCCCGAGGGCGTGGTGAGGGAGAGGGACACACGCAGCTTCTGCAGGTGGGTGGCGGACAGGTCGGTGAAGTTTGTCCTCTTCTCAAAGTCCAATCTGGCGAAGGGCAGAGTGGAGCGGAGTGGAGCGGAGTGGAGCGGAGTGGAGTGGAGTGGAGTGGAGTGGAGTGGAGCGGAGTGGAGTGGAGGAGAGGAATTAGTGGGCAAGAGAAGGCGGCCATGACCCCCGTTCTGGACTCAAAACACCATTGCACACCCACACAAGGCACTCCCTGCTGCCCCGCACTCCCTGCTTCCCAGCAATCCCTGCTTCCCTTCCCAGCACTCCCTGCTTCCCTTCCCAGCACTCCCTGCTTCCCTTCCCAGCACTCCCTGCTTCCCTTCCCAGCACTCCCTGCTCCCCTTCCCAGCACTCCCTGCTTCCCTTCCCAGCACTCCCTGCTTCCCTCCCCAGCACTCCCTCCTTCCCTTCCCAGCACTCCCTGCTTCCCTTCCCAGCACTCACCCACGCCAAGGCACTCACTGCTTTCCAGCACTCACTGATTCTCGGCCTCGGGAGCAGCGCCGTCGCTGTCCAATACAGCAACAGAGACACCAGACACTGCCAAGGACGCGGACAGCAGCAGAGCGCGCTGCGCTGTGGCCCTCGTCCCTCTAACCGCCCCCTCACAGAGGACTCACCCACGCCAAGGCACTCACTTCTTCCCAGCACTCACTTCTTCCCAGCACCTACTGCTTCCCAGCACTCACTGCTTCCCAGCACCCACTGCTTCCCAGCACTCACTGCCTCTCGGCCTCAAGAGAGGCGCCGTCGCTGTCCAATACAGCAACAGAGGCACCCGTGACCGCCATGGACGCCGACAGCAGCAGAGCGCGCTCCACTGTGGTCCTCGTCCCTCTAACCGCACTCTCACACTGCACTCACCCACACTCAATTACTCCCAGCACTCACTGCCTCTCGGCCTCAGGAGCAGCACCGTCGCTGTCCAATACAGCAACAGAGACCCCCGTGACCGCCATGGACGCCGACAGCAGCAGAGCGCGCTCCACAGACGCACTGCCCGCTACAAAGGCTGAGTCGGCAGGGGGGGTGATCTGAGGGCGGCACGGAAAAGGGAGGGGGGAAGGGGGAGGTGTTTGGGAAGACGGAGAAGGGGGCTGAGTGGGGAGGAGAGCAGCAGAGGGCGCTCCACTGACGCACAGCCCACTATGAAGGGCGAGCCTTCGGGGGGGGTGATAAGGGGACTTGCATTGGCTTCCTCGCACCTTGAATTTGAGGGTGTATGCGCCAAGGGTGGAGGCCTTGGAGAAGGCCTTGGCAGAGAAGGAGACGCCGTCCTTGCCAGCTGTGAGCTCCTTCCCCGACACAGCACTGCCGCCCCCGATGGTGGCGCTCTGCAGCTTCACTGCCGCGCCTGGCACCTTCCCGCCCAGCGCTGTTGTCACCCTCACCTGCAGTCACCAAGAGGGGGGTTGAAGAGGAGGGAATATAGGTGGGAGGAGAGGGGGGGGCGGGGGAGGGGGGGGGTTAGGGAGGGAGAGTGTAGTGCGATTGAGCCAGGGGTGGGAGGGAGGGATGGTGGCATTCTGCAGCTTCACTGCCGCGCCTGGCACCTTCCCTCCCAGCGCTGTTGTCATCCTCAACTGCAGTCAAGTCAAGTCAAGCACAGAGGGATTCAGAGCGCACAGTGCACACAGAGAGGGATGGGAGTGGGGGGCGGTGGGGTGGGTGGTGATGAATCGCATCAGGGGTGGGGGCATGGGAACGTGATGGTGGGAGGGTGGGTGGGCGGGATGGTGGCATCTCGCAGCTTCACTGCCACGCCAGGCACCTTCGCTCCCAACGCTGTTGTCACTCTCAACTGAGTGTGGGGGGGAACGAGGGGGATAGCAATAGGAGTGAAAGGAGAAAAAACGGCCCTTCTAGAGGTAGGGAGGCAGGAGGGAAGGAACAGCAATCACACTGCTGATTCGGCAGTTGTGGGGCGACGAGTGCATGTACGATAGAGGTACGAGCGTGCATGCATGAAAGGTTTACTAGCGTGCATGTACCATAACCGTGCTTGAAATAGGTGGGGGAACTTACTGTGAGAGTGGGATCCGCAGAGACGGAGATGTGACCGGGCGATGAGAGGAAGATGGGCACCACAATGCTGAAGTGGCGACATGGGCGGGGGACGGATGGAAGAGGGAGGTGGGGGAAGGGCGGGGGGGAGAAGGGAGGAGGGAAGTGGAAAACACCGGAGGAAGTGAGGGTAAGTGACCAAGGGCGGAGGGGGAAACTAGAACGTGATCAATGGAGAGGAGAGGAAAATGGGGACTTGACCAAGTGAAGCAAAGCAAAGGCAGATGGCTCCTTAAAACAACCAACGGGTTGCTATCACGCACTGCAAGAGCTTCAACCCACGCAGCGGCCTCCGTGATGGACAGGGGCCGAGCCGCCACCAGATAGCGGCCAGCCTCTGCCGAACCCAGTCAAGTCTCCCCCCTTCCCCCCCCCCCCCCGGGTCCCTCCCACCCCCATGTTCCCCCCATCCCCCACTCCACTCACGGGTTGCTATCAAGCACAGCAAGAGCTTCAGCCCAAGCAGCGGCCTCCGCCAGAGAGAGGGGCAGAGCCGCCACCAGATAGCGCCCAGCCTCTGCGATCTTGGCAGGGCGCACGCCGAGAGGGCCGGAGAGGGTGGAGGCGAGGGCGAGGTAGCCTGTGAGCGCGGATGCGGTGGCGAGGAGAGACCCGCCCTCTGCTGGCGACGCTGGGAAGAAAGAGACGGCGTTGCCGCTGGGGTCAGCTGGGAGAAGGGGAGGAGGGGGGGTGGGGGGGGGACAAAGGGGAAGGGCAAGCAGGCATTAAGGACAGAAACAAGGCCAGGGCGAGGGGAGAGCCGCCCTCCGCTGGCGATGCTGGGAAGGAAGAGACAGCATTGCCACTGGGGTCGGCTGGAAGTGGGAGTGAGGAAGATACGAAGAGAGGCAGGGCAGGGACGGGGAAAGTGAGGAAAAGGATGGGGAGAGCGGGCAAAGGGGGAAGGGGGAGAGGGGAGGAAGAGAGGGAAGGCGGAGGGTGAGGGTGATTTAGGCTTTAAGATGAAGCCAGGATCAAAGAAAGGGCAAACTTGAAGGGGAGCGCAAAGCCCTAGGCGAAGCAAGTACAGAACAAGGCTTGAGAGGAGGCCAAAGCACGAGGGGGGGTAGGGTTCAGGGTGGGGGTAGGGTTCAGGGTGAGTGCAAGACGAGGATACAAAAGGGCTGTAGGACGAGTAGGGGTGAGTGCTCTTACAGTCGGTTGCGAGGAGAGAAAAGAGCGAGGTGACTGCGTCTGAGACTGCTGACACCTGCACACGCAACAGGCAGCAGGCAACCGAATGCAGACATGCAGCAAGCAACCACATGCAACCATGCAGCATGCAGCATGCAATATGCAATCAAGTGCAAACATGAAGCATGCAACCCAATGCAGAGTGCAACGTGGAGCATGCAATACGGGAGGCAAGCAAGGGCATTCAAGCGATGGACCACGGCATGCATTTACGCATCATGCTACACTACATAAGATGACTTCTGAGTCGACTCAGAGTACACTACTTCAAAGTGGCAACGACATGCATCATCAACGGATCATGCCATACTCCGCAAGGTCGCCACATTGCCTCATAACCAATCACACGATTTTTGAGGCGCCTAAAAAAAGTCCGCAACGTTGCCACACAATGCCTCATAACCGATCACACGATACCACAGCACGCCACATCGACACTGCCATCGCAACCAAGTCACATCAAGCAGAACAGGCCACCCACCCACCCCCTCTCACCTGACTCATCCACACCACCCCACCCCACCCCACCCCACCTATAAGTCACCCACCCAACTTCTTCCCACCCACCCTCCTGCTTCCCATCCGCGAGCCGCAGTTCCTTTAGCACAGCCAGAGCCTCGAAAGCCACGCCTACAGCACCAACAATCACCTTCCAACAGCACCATCAGCCACCTGCACCCCACCTGCTTCTCATCCGCGAGCGCCAGTTCCTTGAGCGCAGCCAGAGCCTCAAGACGCCCGCAGCATCACCTCCCACCTTTCAACAGCACCAGCAAACAGCCGCTCTTCTATCACCCCATGTGCTTCCTGTTGCTCTATCCCCTCACCTGCTTCTCGTCCGCGAGCCCCAGTTCCTTTAGCGCAGCCAGAGCCTCCAGAGCCACGCCCGCAGCAGCGACGGAGGACCCCCCTTGGCCGGCCTTGTCCGTAGCCCACGTGCCGTCCGCCTGCTTCAGTGCCTGGCAAAAGGGGGATTGAGTTAAAAACGAGTTAAGAGTTCTGAGACGTCTCAAAACGCAGCAGCGACGGAGGACCCTCACACGCCGGCCTTGTCCATGGCTCACGTGCCGTCCGCCTGCTTCAGTGGCTGATGGATGGAAGCGTCGAGATTCACAGGTTTCCAGCAGAAGAGGCCGAGGCTTTGCGATGCAGAAACAGCACGAGGGACAACAAGTGCAAAAGACGCGGGCACCATCCCCTCGTGTTTCCTAAAGCGGGCAGTAAGGAATCACAACCACGAGAGGCGAGCCGCCACAAGGACAAGTGCCTGAACGACAAGCAGCACACCATATGCACCCTACAAGAAGCACCCGAGATCAGGAGCTTACGAGTATGGCAGCAGCAGCCTTCTTGAGGCCTGACGGAACGGACCCAGCACCCCACTTGTTGGCCTGATACCATGGAAATTCCGCAACCGAGTGGAAAAAAGAAGGGAGAACATTAAGGGAAGTAAGAATCGACGGTGCGAGCAGGAAAGGAGAACAGACGAGGAGATTAGCCCGAGGGAGGAGGCAGAAGACGTGATACACAAACAGGGCCTCATGCAAACAGGGCCCTGAGGTAGTAGCATAGAGAATCAGCAAACGACGAGCAATTGCCCGAAAGTGGCTGCCTGATAAAAGAGCAGAGATTCACGAAAGATGCATCCCTAAAAGCGAGCTGGCCGGGATCAGGGCCACTAAGGAAACTCTCACCTTGAGAATGTGAGTGCCAGCAGCGGCGTAGAAGAGCTGGTCGAGGGATGAGGAGGATGCTTTACAGTCGACCGACTCAAAAGTCACCGGGGCCAATACGAAACCCTCACCTTGAGAATCTGAGTGCCGGCCGCGGCATAGAAGAGCTGGTCGAGGGACGAGGAGGATGCAGCCGCGGCCAAGAGGGGCTCCGCTTCCTGCGGACGGCACAGAATACACAAGAGGAATGGCAGGTGGTGGTGAGGGACTGCTACGAGGTGCCTTTTAAGTCGACTCAAAAGTCACCTCGCGGACAAGAGGGGTTCCGCTTCCTGCGGACGGCACAGAGTACACAAGAGCAATGGCAGGTCGTGAGTGGATAGCTAAGTCGCTTCACAGAGATGCGGTACCAGGTACTACACATCACGACAGTGTGGAAAAGTGCAATGCGAACAATCCGCTGATTCGAACCCTGCCATCATCTCACCTTTACAATGCCGCTAGCGCCCTTGCAGGCGAGCGGTTGTGCCTTTCAAAGGCCGCAGAGTGTTACCTTGAAAATGCCACTCTTTCAAAGCCAATCAGCATCTCACCTTGGCAATGCCGCTGTTTAAAGCCAATCAGCATCTCACCTTGACAATGCGACTGTTTAAAAGCCAGCCAGCAGCTCACCTTGGCAATGCCGCTAGCGCCCTTGCAGGCGAGCGCAGCCGCGGCGGACACCTTCTGGAAGGCCTCCTCTGCTGACGTGGCGGCTGGGGCCTTCTTCAGCCACGCGCAGGTCTTGGAGGAATCGAGCGACGCCTTCGAGACCACGCTCAGGAGCTTGACTGCCTGAAAGGTCTCCTTCAAACTGAGAGGGGGGGAGATGGGGGGACGGGGGGGTAGGGAGAGAAAGCGACAGTGCGAAAGTGCGTGAACGGACGGAACGACGCTCAGGGGATTGACTGCATGAAAGGTCTCTTCTAAACTGAGGCGAAACGATACGCGGAGAGAGGTGGGGGTTGTTGAGAGGGGGGCAGGGGGAGGAGACAGTGCACAAGTACATTAACAGATCGATCGACGTTGAAGAGCTTAACCGCCTGAAAGGTCTCCTTCAAACTGACGAGAAACGACGAACGGTGGGGAAAGGGGCAATCCGACAGCAGCAGCACTCGATGCATGCACAGTGCAAGCAGCGTAAAACGGTCACGATTTTCTCGTTCAGGCATCTGATGACGAGGCAAGCAAAAAGGACTCTCCTTCTCAGTAACTAACGACCGTGTGATCCTAGCGAATTTCACGATCTGGAGCCGAAATTCAGCATCCAGCGTCATCGACGACGAACTTTTCAATGCAGCCTGGCAACTAGAGTTTCTGCGAACGACTATAAGTCCAAAATCCAGCTCGCTTCCATGATCGGTTCGACCATCCAACGTTCGCTCATCAAAATGTCGAGGCTCGCAAATCCAGCAACCATCGGGCTGATTGATAAGCTCGAGACCAATAGACCAATAACCGAGAACCCAATGTCTGTCGATCGGATAAACCGCGACGCGAAGATCTAATATCACTCCGTCAGCTGTCACAACTAGCTACCGTCGATAGTGTCACATCCGGCTAATGTCACTTCCTCACTCACGGCGGAAAGGAACAGATCTCAGCTGCTGTAGGAGCCATCTTTGGAAGAAATAGCCAGAATCGTGGCGCTGCTTCCACGATCGACAAGCAAGAATCAAGATGACTTCACTTGAAATCCACATCAAGGCAATCAAATCAGATCTCACCTGCCGTAGCAACCGTCGTCCGACGGAACGGCGAGAGTTTTGGCTGCTTCCACGGTTGCTAAGGGAGACGCATTGACGATCACCAGGCACGACCCGGCAAAAACGAGGGAGAGAATAGCGAGGATGGCCATAAAGCCGCGAGATGCTGCACACATGGCACCAGAATAGTCTTTCAGGAAGAGTCACCAACTGCAGTCAAGAAAGTCGGAAATCCTATGACTCGATCTCAAGCACGGGAGAGCACGATCCGCATGAAAAAAAAAACTAAAAAGAAAGTAACGAGTTTTGACGCGACGGCACTAACGTTCTGATAGTCGATAGCCTACCTGAGCAGACCGCCATGGCTTGGATCGCCTATCAGTGGTGGTGACCAGGCAAATTCACGGCAAGACCAAGAGATCCAGAAATTTGAGCCTCGGGATTCCCTAGAGCATGATGAAGTGCAGAACGAGCGAATCAAAAGGGACGAGTGGGATGGGTGGGATGGGATGCACGAGTGGAGAGGGAGGCAGAGAAGCCTCAGCGAAGGAGGAGACAGACATCTGTTACAGTTAAAAATAACCTTTAGTTTGCAAAAATGCTGAACGTAATATCCAATGTCGTGATGGAAATCCAAACTAGAAGCTTCTTTTACACCACATCTTTGAGATTGCGAAGCCTGAAGGACATACCCGCTTGAGTTATTGTTCATTATTTACAACGAAATCGAAAATTCGCCAATAGAACCCTATGAATGGCTTGTTTCACAGCAAGTACATGTCCTCAACAGTCTGTTGGGCAAGCACAGCGCTGGACCGTGCTGCAGAAAGGCCCTTCTTGGTAGCAAAAACTATTTCCATCGACTTCATGTGAGGTTGCCCCTAGTCAGCCACCTGCACATGAACACATGGGGTAAAGCAAATTGTGAACAGACAGGAGACATATCCCCCATGGGAGATCACACCCAACAGACTCTTCGTTACACCGCAACAGGAACTGAGAACTGAGATGAGTCAAGATCAAGACGACAGGACGAGGCCAGGAAGAATCGGCAGAACGAGATATGGGGAGGGCGTTAGCCTGGTGGATACCCTGGTAAGATTGCACTCGAGCTGGAGTGCATTCCCCTCCCACCCGCACATAAAACTCTCCTGCTTAGACAAGGTCTAAGCATCGGTCTCTGCCACGCGAACATCTCTTAGGGCTATGAGAAGCTCAATAAGAGGGCCTAAGAGACCATGTTGTGGCAGCAAAACAGCAGAATGTTGCTGATTTCTACAACCACCGACCACTTCATCACTCGTCATTAGTGGGCTTCGGGCTTCTCACCTCTTCTGCTTCAGGCAGCTTTGCCAGTCGATCACATTGACGTACTGAGAACCTGACTAATGCATGGTACTGCAGCAAGGCTAGAGGAGAGAGGACGGATCGGAGAAGACGGGAATACGTAAAACAATTAAGAAACGAGACACGGAAAGAATGCTACTGTGAGACAGGAGGCTGCAGCCGTGAGAGGTCCACGCGGTGATTAACGAAACCTTGAAACCGATCTGTTTTCTCCAGTGCTGTCTGGACAGCTCAAAGCGTCATCTGGGTGTCAGGCCTATGGCGATCGCGCACGAAGAATCAAGAGAAACATTGCCTGCACAAGCTAAACTAAACATGGAGCAAAGAGATCACGAGCACAGTTGTCAGACGGATTGGATCGACTATACTTACCGCGTCACCTTATGACGTAACGAATGGCTCGTCGCTTCAAAGCTCGGCGCTTCAAGGCTCGCCAAGTAAAAGCTCGTCGCGACGAAGCTCGCCAAGGCGCCGCTTCAAACACGCTGACGTCGTCAGCCATGGCTGCTAGTGGAGTGGACGCCATGGGGAGCGGCTGTCACCGCTTCACATGGCGTCGGTGACGCGTTGATGGTGACATTGCGACAAGGCGAAAAAGATGGAATCCAAAGCAGCCAAGACGATAATGGGTGGAAGAGGGAATGGTTCGGGGTTAGGGTTGTACCCGCTAAAAGGTTCGCTAAAGCTCTCGTGTGCTGAATGAAAACTATACATACACCCACTCCTTGAGGTTCCCTAAACCCAGAGGTGGGTATCTTGGCGAAAAAATCACATAACGTGCAACTTTGTTGATGCGTGCTTTCCCTTGAGGTTTCTCCAACATGTGTGCAGTTCCATATCACCTCCCAGGCCAGCTTGGACCCAAAGAACTGGTAAAAGTAGAGCCTTGACAGTATGGTCCCTTAGCGATCAAAACTATTTGAATTATACATCGAACCAATCATACAACAGCATCCTTATTTCCCAGCTCAAACCCTAACAAACATAGCCACCTCAACCTCAATCTGTCTATGAATGCTGAAATGCAACACCAGATAATCCTCACGCAAACCCCCTTCAGTTTGGATCCCCGGTGAGGCGAGGTGATCCCCTTCACTCCTTCCTTCCTTCCTTCCTGCCTCCACGCTTTTACGACTGTGGCGCGATGACGCACTCGATGTTGGGCGAGGTCATGATCCACTGGTTGCCGTTGCTGAAGTGCAGCTCGTGCGGGCACGGGCGGGTGGGCATGGTCCACGCATACAGCACGTGCACCGTCTCGCCGCGGTACATCTGGATGTTCCCAAGGGGCCCGCGGTTCATCATCAGGTCGCAGTACCCCGGCAGGTCCGGCACCGGCCCGAACTCTCGCCCGTCTGGTAGATGGTGGGGTTTTTGGCGGGGTTCTTGAGAATGCCCTGCCACACATTGCCGAAGTCCTGGCACTGGAAGACGCGCAGCGGGCTGGTGACGTTGAAGGCGCAGCCGTTGTAGAAGGTCATGTTGAAAATGTAGTTGTGCAGGTCGTACGGCCCCAGGTACTGCGACTTTATCACCACCGTCGTGCGCCCGCACGCTGAGAGGAGGTGGGGGGAGGGATGGAAAAGACGGGGGGGGGGGGGAGGGGAGGGGAAACAAGCAATTAGACAAGAACTGTGGGTTGGGACTCACAGCAGAACTCAGAACTAAGAGCCAGCAGAAAAAAGATGGAAAGTGGGAATCCTCGTGTGGATGGATGGGATGCAGCGGAGGAGTGGGTCAGAAGAGAGAGGGGTGGGTGGGTGGGTGTGTGGGATGGAGCCTCACTGGTGGCGAGCGCCTTGCGGCGGGGGATGTGGTCGAGGTAGTCCGGCAGTTCCTGGTCGTGAGAGTAGGTCTCCGCAGCCAGAATCCGCGGGCCCGCCTGCTTCACTCCGAGGTCCCTCCCGGCATGGGCAGGGGCGGCCAGCAGACACACCGCCAGCGCGGCGAGCAGCAGCAGACGAGCAGCGAGAGGAGCCATTGGAGACGGGAATTCGAAGGGGAAACCGAGGCGAAAAGCCCAGAAATGGACCACTGGGTTGCTGTGACACCTCGGATGTGGATGAGTGAAACTGTGATAAAAGCCATGGGGAAATGGCTCCTATTTATATGATGCTCCAGGCTAGCTTGTCGCCTTGTTTCCAGCAGCAGCCCATGGCGTCACTCCTGCAGACGCGGTGCCGACCGCGTTTCCTGGAAAGGCATGACAGAGCGCATGTCTGATGGACAGGAATTGGCGGCCCGTCATAGTGCCTCCCAGACTCCGTGGCGATCAGTTAGTTAACCCAAACGTGAAGGCTGGTCCATCCCGGCTAACCATAATTCGTGCGCCGCGAATCAGGTAGTTATGTCCGGATTTGCAATCGTCGCTGGTTGTTGACGGCAACTACGTGCTCAAAGGTTGACTCGACGAGATCGCTGCCATCGCAAGTAGTTGGCACTCGTCCGCTTTTTCTACTTCAAGTTAGCGGCAATTCAGAGCTTCTCATCCAGTGCTTCCTAGCTCGCCCTACCATAACGCGTACACCGTGGAAGCATCGCGCTACCGGCAGGGTAGTTGGAGTGAGTAACTGGAGAAGGCAGTTGCAAGTCCCGCACGTTTCCGTCGGCGGATGTAGCGAGGGGATCGGCGCATGTCGTTGAGACAGACCGACACGCGACGTTCGTAATGGATTAGCCATCCGAGTTTCGTTTCGTCCCGTCAGACGGTTAAGAATACCGAGCAAACGCGTGCGGTGTGAGGCATACAGCGAAAACTACCGGAACGAAGCGTGTGGTGCGGTGCGATGCGGTCTACAATACTGACGAGTTCAGGAAGTTTAGATCGAATCTAGGGAGTAGTAGAGTAGTACCTGATGTAGTAAATACAGAACCAACTGCTTTTCCCACAAGATGACAGGATGCATGCGAAAATCTCTCCTGTCGCAAATCCCGTTTCGCAGCATGCATGGCTGGGCGACATGCGGCGCGGGCGAGACATTCCCTAGGTGCGGCGATTGAGCTTCCAGAATTCTCTAAGAGCAGGAGGGGGTATGGGAGGAAGGAATGGGACAAGGGAATGAGCGGAGAATGTGCTGTGCTGTGGTTAAGAGAGTGTAGGTGTTGAGAGCGTTTGAAAGGGTTTGAGAATGGCGGCGGGAAGAAGAACGTGAGTGCTTGGAGAAAGAGTGACATACACCTGATCCTCTTTTGGAATTGCTTCGTTTGGGAGGAGAAGCTGCACAGAAACTTGCGATTTTTTTCCAATACGCTGTATCGTCACACGTGATTCGAAAAGAACCGAAGTGAATGTGGCGGCTGACGCTTTAGAGCTCGATACTTGCACAAAGAGAATTGCGGCACTGTAGAGTAGACGACCAATACGGTGTCGATATTTTCCAGGCGCTTTTCATTCTCAGGCAAGGTCCTTCTCAAATGGATCAGCCTCTTTCTTTTCTTCTGATTCAGTGATACAACAGGCGAAGCGGAAGCGAAGAAGCGACTATCATGACTGTGAGAGAGCGATCATCTTAATCCTCCCCCCCTTTCGAACTGCACCTTCAGTCGGGATCGTCAAACCGGATTCAATGGCTGCCGTTTCACGGGTCATGAATTCGTCCGTGATCCTCGCTAGGGATTTCAGCCGCATTTCACTGATCACCGCCGGTGGTTCTGCGCTGATCACCACCGTGGCGATACTCCCCTCGCGAATGCTGAGTCTGCGACGCAGAATGAGCCCAAACTTTCCAATTCCAGTCCCTTTCGGTAGAGTCACATCTGTGACAAGCACTCGGCGTCTCAGAACCGCCTCCTCGTCGCAACGTGCCAGCTGTCAGGGATCGGATTCTCCTCCTGCTGACGTGTACGCTACCTTGTCCTTCCTTGGTCCAGGGAGATCCCGAGGCTTTCGGACGCAGCTACCTCCACAGCCATCCGATCCGTTCAATCGCATTCGTTACAGTCACATTCGCTATCCCAGCATCGCGACCGTCGGATCCACTGCAGCGTCTCGTCTGGACGTTAGATGCTCTTCCAATTCTAGTGGTAACCCCATAAATGCGCCAAGCAATGACTCGGGCAATGATTCATTGCCAGGCAATGATTCAGCATCAGGCGATGATCTCGAGGGTTTGAACGAGGAGCAGAGGGCGGCGGTGGTGGCGTCTCCTGACGGGTGTGTGCGAGTGGTGGCCGGACCAGGGTCCGGCAAAACCCGTGTGCTCACCCATCGGGTCGTCCACCTGATAAAGAGCCTGAACGTGCAGCCTAGGAAAATACTGGTGAGCTTGCGTCATACAAGTTTAAACAGTTCTCGCAGAAGTCACCTGACTTGTCGGGAGAGTCTTGGTAGTTTGATTGAAAGCCGTTGTACAACAAATCTGGAGGTTACTTCTCATTGCTGGAGGTTGCTGATGTGTTATTGTGTGCGTTTGAGGCGCCTCAAAAGCGATTCCTGACGTGTTATTGTGTGTGTGGGTGGCTGCAGTGTATCACCTTCACCAACAGAGCAGCCAATGAGCTCCGGACACGTCTGCAGCTCCTCCTGTCTCCTGAGGCTGCTGCAGCCGTCCACGTGAGTTACCACCACAGCCACCATAGTTACAACAGTTACCACAGCCACCACAGCCACAGCAGTTACCACAGAGACCTGTTCATTCGTGAGCTGTCATTCGATGTTCCTGTGGTCAAAATGCTTCACCTCACCTCACCTTCACCTCGTGGTGTTAGCAGATCCTCGGACATGGTAGTTAACTCAGGGTTTCTTTTCTACTTTTGAGCCGTCTCAAAAGCAGTGACCTGTTCATTCGTGAGCTGTCATTCGATGCTCCTGTAGTAAAAATTCTTCACCTCACGGTGTTAGCAGATTCTCGGACATGGTAGTTAAAAATAAACATCACCCTCACTTCAATCTCAGGGTTGTTCCCACATTCACATATTCTCCAACCGCGCTTGCCCGGCTCTATGGTGGCTGCAGGTGGGGACGTTCCATGGCATCGCTGCTCGCATACTCAGGACGGAGATGCTCCCCTCACTGCGCAGCCGAAAGTAAGCAAGGTTGTTAACAATGGGTGTTTTGAGTAGACCCAAAACACAAATGGTTTTGTGTTTTGGGACGCTCCATGGCATTGCTGCTCGGATCCTCAGGAAGGAGATGCTCCCCTCAATGCGCAACCGAAAGTGAGTAAGGCTGTTGGCGATGAGAATGGTATCGTGCTACAGGACCCCTGTCCTCTTGTCCTCCCTCCCCCCCAACATGTCCTCCTGTATTTCCTCCTCACCCCCGTCCCCCTGTCCTCCTGTCTTTCCTCCCCCCCCTGTCCCCCTGTCCCCCTGTCCTCCTGTCCTCCTGTCCCCCTGTCCCCCCGTCCCCCTGTCCCCCTGTCCTCCTTTCCTCCTGTCCTCCTTGCCGCCCGCAGGCGCTTCAGGGCGACCATGGTTTGCTAGATTCGAGAAGCACGCCTCTTCCCCCCTCCTCTCTGTTTCCACCCTCCTTTCTCCCCTCTTCCCCACCGCAGGTGCCGCAGAGACTACACCATCTATGACGAGGATGGCTCTCTGAGAGTGATCATGGAGATTCCTGGGAGGGACCACACCACAGCATCCAGCCGCAGTCATCCACCCTCCAGCCCCGGTCTTCCACCCTCCGTTCACCCCTCTTCTCCCCTCTTCCCCCCCGCAGGTGCTGCAGAGACTACACCATCTATGACGAGGATGGCTCTCTGCGAGTGATCAAGGAGATTCCTGGGAGGGACCACACCACAGCATCCAGCCCCAGTCATCCACCCTCCAGCCCCGGTCTTCCACCCTCCGTTCACCCCTCTTCTCCCCTCTTCCCCCCCGCAGGTGCCACAGAGACTACACCATTTATGACGAGGATGACTCACTGCGAATCATCAAGGAGATTGATAAGAGGGTGAGAGGAGAAGAGGGTGAGAAGAGAAGAGGGTGGGCTGGTATCTCATGATTTTTTAGGCGCCTCAAAAATCGAGAAGAGGGTGGGCTGGTATCTCATGATCCATGCAGGGACTCACGGTGAGGTGAGGTCTCTTGACCCATATAGAGAGCTCGCTTGACATCCAATCCAACTGTTTGAGTGAGTTGTATCAGTGTTCTAGATGCTTTTGAATCGACTCAAAAGCAGACACACTGCTGATGTGATGACTCGCTGCGCGTGAGCAAGGAGATTGGTAAGAGGGCGCGAAGACAAGAGGGTACATGGAAGGGACAAGCAGGTAATCAGAAGCGAGAAGAGGGTAATCCGAAGCGAGAAGAGGGTAATCCGAGGGGAGAAGAGGGTCATCCGAAGCGAGAAGAGAGGGGAGAAGAGGTTAATCCGAGGGGAGAAGAGGGTAATTTGAGGGGAGAAGAGGGCAGTCCGAGGGGAGGAGAGGGTAATCCGAGGGACGAAGAGGGTGAGTTTGAGGTGACTACAAGGCAGCCTGTGAGAGGGCGGGAAGAGAGTGACTGTGTGAACATGACTGATGGGGAGGGATACAGGATGACATAAGTTCGTTCCAGCCCATTGAACCGCATTCAACCGCTGAGTTTCCTCCTATCCCTCTTTCCCCCCCTCTTGTCACAACAGGAGAAGGAGAGGCTCGCTAAGCTCGGCTCGTACCAACCACTGAAATCAGATTCAGCAGCAGCAGCAGGAACCCCATACATTTAAGCGGGGCTATCCGAGGTCATGACACTTCTCTCTCACCGATCCATCTCTTTTGCCCACTGTTCGCCACAGGAGAAGGAGAGGCTCGCCAAGCTCGGTCCGTACCAACCACCGAAATCAGAGTCAGCAGGAACAGAAACTCCGGCCAATCAAGATGGACTATACGAGGCCATGTCACATCTCTCTGTGGAATCAGGGGACGCCACGTCAGCAGCACGGGCGGCGGTGGCAGAGCTTCTAGGGGAGGGAGAGGGCGGGGAAGCAGGGGAGACAAAGGAGGGGCGGCTGAAGGCTTTAAGGGATGGCGTGATGAAGTATAAAGAGGGGAGGATGCGGGAGGCTCTGAAGGGGCGAGTGGGGGAGAGGAGGAGAGGGAGGTTCGAGGAGGGCGAGGAGGAGGAGAAGGGGCTCATGTTTTGTGTTCCAAGATATACTCAGATGTATGAGGTGAGATGGGAATTTTTGTTTGTGATTGACTCAAAACGCCCACGTCGATTCAAAACACACATTGATTCAAAACACACATTAATTCAAAACACATGGAGGGAAATATCCAAGACGTATGAGGTGAGATGGGAACGGTTACGGCGAGCTGTTGTGAAAATTAGAGGCATATCAACCCGTGCGCCCTCCCCTGCCCCTTGGCCCTTCCCTTCCTCCATGTATCTGCCCTTCCCTCTATGCCCTTCCCTCTTTGCCCTTCCCTCTATGCCCTTCCCTCTATGCCCTTCCCTCTTTGCCCTTCCCTCTATGCCCTTCCCTCTATGCCCTTCCCTCTATGCCCTTCCCTCTATGCCCTTCCCTCTATGCCCTTCCCTCTATGCCCTTCCCTCTTTGCCCTTCCCTCTATGCCCTTCCCTCTTTGCCCTTCCCTCTATGCCCTTCCCTCTATGCCCTTCCCTCTATGCCCTTCCCTCTTTGCCCTTCCCTCTTTGCCCTTCCCTCTTTGCCCTTCCCTCTTTGCCCTTCCCTCTATGCCCTTCCCTCTATGCCCTTCCCTCTATGCCCTTCCCTCTATGCCCTTCCCTCTATGCCCTTCCCTCTATGCCCTTCCCTCTATGCCCTTCCCTCTATGCCCTTCCCTCTATGCCCTTCCCTCTATGCCCTTCCCTCTATGCCCTTCCCTCTATGCCCTTCCCTCTATGCCCTTCCCTCTATGCCCTTCCCTCTATGCCCTTCCCTCTATGCCCTTCCCTTCCTCTATGCCCTTCCCTCTATGCCCTTCCCTCTATGCCCTTCCCTCTATGCCCTTCCCTCTATGCCCTTCCCTCTATGCCCTTCCCTTCCCTCTATGCCCTTCCCTCTATGCCCTTCCCTCTATGCCCTTCCCTCTATGCCCTTCCCTCTATGCCCTTCCCTCTATGCCCTTCCCTCTATGCCCTTCCCTCTATGCCCTTCCCTCTATGCCCTTCCCTCTATGCCCTTCCCTCTATGCCCTTCCCTCTATGCCCTTCCCTCTATGCCCTTCCCTCTATGCCCTTCCCTCTATGCCCTTCCCTCTATGCCCTTCCCTCTATGCCCTTCCCTCTATGCCCTTCCCTCTATGCCCTTCCCTCTATGCCCTTCCCTCTATGCCCTTCCCTCTATGCCCTTCCCTCTATGCCCTTCCCTCTATGCCCTTCCCTCTTTGCCCTTCCCTCTATGCCCTTCCCTCTATGCCCTTCCCTCTATGCCCTTCCCTCTATGCCCTTCCCTCTATGCCCTTCCCTCTATGCCCTTCCCTCTATGCCCTTCCCTCTATGCCCTTCCCTCTTGCCCCCCCCCCCCCCCCCTCATGCCCTTCCCTCTATGCCCTTCCCTCTATGCCCTTCCCTCTATGCCCTTCCCTCTATGCCCTTCCCTCTATGCCCTTCCCTCTATGCCCTTCCCTCTATGCCCTTCCCTCTATGCCCTTCCCTCTATGCCCTTCCCTCTATGCCCCTTCCCTCTATGCCCTTCCCTCTATGCCCTTCCCTCTATGCCCTTCCCTCTATGCCCTTCCCTCTATGCCCTTCCCTCTATGCCCTTCCCTCTATGCCCTTCCCTCTATGCCCTTCCCTCTATGCCCTTCCCTCTATGCCCTTCCCTCTATGCCCTTCCCTCTATGCCCTTCCCTCTATGCCCTTCCCTTCCCCTCGCGCCATCTCCTTCGGCCCTTCCCTATGCCACCGGGACGATCTTCAGCTGAGGAATGTGTTGGACCCAACCCAACGACTATGACAACCTCTCGCAGATCCAACCCAAGGTAGCCTTTCAGTCGAACCAAAACTTGCCTCTTTGATTGAGGTTTCCTTGTTGCCCGTTCATCTGTGCACGTCCCGCCCCTCTTCCCCGGCCCACCAGGAAGAGCTGAGACTGAGCAACGCGTTGGACTATGACGACCTTGCGCATTTCCTCCTGGACCTCTTCCACTCGCAGCCACACGTGCTCAAGGTGAGCTGGCCCCACTTGCGACCAAGGTTCGTTGCGCGTAGTGTACTGCCCAAACAGCAGCGGAAACATCATCGTCAGCTGCAGTTGAGCAATGCGTTGGACTCTGACGACCTCGCGCACTTCCTGCTGGGCCTCTTCCACTCGCAGCCCCACGTGCTCAAGGTGGGTTGGGTGTGCCTTTTCAGCTTCTCGCCCTCTCTCAGAAACGTCAGAGGCGGTTTCAGCGTGTGCTGCTCTTCTGAGTCGACTCAAATGTCATCAAGGTGGGCTGGGTGCGCCTGTTCTGCAAGTGCGGCTTCTCAGCACGGTCCCCCTGTCTCTACCTTGTCCCTCTACCTTGTCCCTCTACCTTGTCCCTCTCCTTGCAGAAGTACCAGGACCGGTTTCAGCACGTGCTGGTGGACGAATTTCAAGACACGGATTCTGTGAGTAAGAAGTGCTTTGGTCTGTCTTTCGCTCAGTTTTCTTGTATAGGCGCTTCCTGCCCATCCTTCTCCTTCGAAAAAACCAGGAGGGGTTCAGCATGTGCTGGTGGACGAAATTCAAGATACGGATTCTGGAATGAGCGGTGCTTGCATCGTGCTTCTTTCGTATAATACTATAAAGGGGATGCCTTTTAACGAGCAGGTGAAGAGTTGCATGGCTTGTGGTTGTTGAGAGTTAGCTGAGAGCAACATGGGGAAAGAAGGCTGGTTTTGAGACGTCTCAAAACCAACCTTATAACAAGGGGAAACCGTGAGAGCTATATCCTTCCTTCATCCAGACATGGCAAAAGCAACACATGTGGATTAAGGATGTCTGGGATACATGTCTTGGACACATGCTTCCCGAATGAGATTGCTTTGCAGCATCCTTCCATTCAGACACATATGGCCACTTCCTTGATACTTGGAAGGCTTTCGTTGCTTGCCTGGATTGTCTTTCTTTTCTCTTTTCACCTGCCCTTCCTTCCAGTTCCAATATGAGATGGTGCGCCTGTTAACCCTCGAGTCAAGGCGGCTATTTGTTGTTGGAGACATTGACCAGGTGAGTGTAAATGGTTAGTGACAGATGGGCATGTTTCCCTATTCTGGACTTGTTGGTCTGTGGCTGCTTGCTAACGCTCGTGCCTAGGCGGCTGTTTGCTGTGGGAGACATTGACCAAGTGAGTGAGACCCGTTGGCTAGTAACGGATGGGCCTGTTTGTTTTCTGGGCGTGTTGACCAGGTGAGACCCGCTGGCTAGTAACGGATGGGCCTGTTGCTCGTTTCTGGGCTTGTGGGGTCTGTGGCTGCTCACACCCGAGTCAAAGCGGCTGTTTGTTGTGGGAGACATTGACCAGGTGAGTGAGACCCGTTGGCTAGTAACGGATGGGCCTGTTTGTTTTCTGGGCGTGTTGACCAGGTGAGACCCGCTGGCTAGTAACGGATGGGCCTGTTGCTCGTTTCTGGGCTTGTGGGGTCTGTGGCTGCTCACACCCGAGTCAAAGCGGCTGTTTGTTGTGGGAGACATTGACCAGGTGAGACCAGGGGGGACCAGGTATGCTCTGCATGGTGGTGAGGCACATTGGGTGGTTGGGGATTGCTGGTATTTTCTGGGCTTGTTGGATATGTGGCTGCTCACACCCGAGTCAAAGCGGCTGTTTGTTGTTCGGAGACATAGACCAGATGAGGGCGATTGCGTATCAATGTGCACGCTTTTCGTTGTATTGAAGCGGTTATTGAGTTTCCATTCCTGTTTGTTGCATGCGTGAGACAGTGCATCTACTTGTGGCGCGGGGCCAAGTACGTCTACCTGCAGTAGGTTGCTCAATTGATGCCGGTCTCACAATGATTTCTCCCTCTCTTTCTCCTCGCTCTCTCTTTGCCTGCGTGGCAGTGCATCTACTCGTGGCGAGGAGCCAAGTACGTCTACCTGCAACGGTTCTTAGACGAAGACTTTGATGACGTCACCACGCTTCAGGTGAGAGACAGCGTCCAGCAGTGGGAGAAGAGCGGTTGTCACAACACTGCAAGCAAGCGCTGCATTGTGCGTGAGTGCAGATTGGCGTGGAGCCAAGTACGTCTACCTGCAACGGTTCTTAGACAAAGACTTTGATGACGTCACCACGCTTCAGGTGAGGAAGATCCAGGCACTTACAGAGTGTCTCAAATGTGATTGAAATTCCTCCCCTCTTGCGTAGCATACTTACACCCCTCCTCCCCAACAACCAGGGTTGGCTCATGTCATGGCTCCTTTCCCCTCGATCCCTCGATTCCTTCCCTTCCCTGCCTACCAGCTTCGCAGCAACTACCGCTCGTCGCACAACATCTTGCAGGCAGCAGACCAAGTGATCCAGGGAGGGCCGAGGGACTTGCCCGTCTCTCACTCACCCTTCCTCCGTTTTTTCCTCCTCCCCCTCATGTCACACACTCTTCTCCCTGCTCTCCTCTCCTCCCCCCACTTGCCCCACACACCCCCCAGCTTCGCAGCAACTACCGCTCGTCGCACAACATACTGCAGGCAGCCGACCAAGTGATTCAAGGAGGGCCGAGGGACAGGCGCGTTGGGGGCGGCACGCTGCAGCTGCTGCCAACAAAGGTGGGTGTGTGAGGGGAGTGGGGGGGGGTAGAGGGGTGAGGAGGAGTGGAATGTAGGTGCGCGTTGGGGGCGTTACATTGCAGATGCTGCCAACGAAGGTGAGGGGCGAAGGAATGTAGGATGAAGAGATCCAGGGAGGGGTGAGGGACCTTGCATCCAGGGTGGCGGGGTCAGGGGCGGCTCCTTGCAGCTGCTTCCAACAAAGGTGCGTGTGGGGGGGGAGGGGGGGGGGGGGGGGTGGAGGGGTGAGGAGTGGAATGCAGGTTCACAATGGGGGCCGCATGCTGTAGCTGCTGCCGACAGAGGTGAGGGGAGAGGGGATGTAAGATCAAGCGATCCAGGGAGGGCTGAGAGACAGGCGCGCTGGGGGAGGGGTTTGGTTGGATTGAGGCAGCAAGACTGATGATTTGTTGTTTCCCCCCTCCCCACCCCTCCCCACCCCTCTCCACCCCACTCCACCCCACCGTCCCCTCCCCTTTTTTTTCCTACCGCTGCCGCCAGGCCATCCGGTGTTCTTCTCCTTCTTCCTGTCGTGCGGCAACGAGGCAGCCACAGTGGCTGAGGAGATCGAAGCCTCGTAGATGCTGCTGAGCTATCTCCCTCATCTCATGTGTTTCCTCCATCCCCCCCCTTATCCCCCACCTTCCTCCTACCCCTCCCCCAGCCGCCAGGCCATCCGGTGTTCTTCTCCTTCTTCCCGTCGTGCGGCAGCGAGGCAGCCACCGTGGCCGAGGAGATCGAGAGCCTCGTCGATGCTGATGAGCTGTCGCCGTGGCGGGCGCAGGCACGGGCAAGAGGGGGGGCGAGAGGGGGGGCGAGGGGAGGGGTCATGGGAGGGGCGAGGGGAGGAGAGGGGGGAGTGGAGGTGGGGAGAGAGGGAGCGAGCGGGGGGTATACATGGAGTGACTTCTGTGTGCTGTACCGCACGAACGCACAGGCGGTGCAGCTGCAGCAGGCTCTAACGGACCTCTCTATTCCCTGCATCGTGATTGGGGGCAGCACACTCTTTCAAAAGAAGGTAAGGGGCGGCTGTTGGGTCTTGTGCGAGGTCATTCCACACCAACTCTCACAGGCAGTGCAGCTGCAGCCAGCAGCAGGCTCTAACGGACCTCTCCATCCCCTGCATCGTGATTGGGGGCAGCACACTCTTTCAGAAGAAGGTACGGGGCGGCTGTTGGGTGTCGTCCCAGGTCACAGGCGGTGCAGCTGCAGCAGGCTCTAACGGACCTCTCCATCCCCTGCATTGTGATTGGGGGCAGCACGCTGTTTCAAAAGAAGGTGTCCCTTTCAAAAGAAGGTCTTTCTTTCAAAAGAAGGTATCCGCTCGACACACCCTTGATGTGCGCCCATGATCCCTCCGAGCTCCCTCCTCCCCTTCCTCTCCCTTCCCCACCCTTCCAGGTGGTGCGAGACCTTCTCGCATATCTGAGAGTAGTGGCCAACCCTGCTGACAGCGTTGCACTAGGAAGGATCTACAACACGCCCTCACGAGGTATTTAGTCTCCTCTATCCATCCGCTTTTGGTTCTTTTGTTTCCCTGGGCTGCGATTTGACTTTTGAGTCGACTCAAAAGTCGCGAGGTATTTGCTCTCCTCTATGCATCCGCTTTTGGAGCTTCCGTTTTCCTTTGCTGTGTTTTCCGTCCCGATTTTTCGCGCTTGATCGTACTTTAGCAAAGTACGACTTAAGTACTTCAGTCGCATCTGATCGTTTCCCTCCCGCCCCTCCCTCCCCATCCTCTCGCGTTTTCGTTCAGGCCTGGGCACCAAGTCGTGGGCGGCAGTGCAGCAGTGGGCACAGAGCATGGACACCGCCACAGGCACTGCAATTCTGGTGCGCATGTTGCCTCGTATGCATTTTCCATCCATCCATCCATCCATCCATCCATCCATCCATCCATAGCTCCCATGCAATCCTTTCCACACTTGATTCCTCTGTAGCATTCCGTCTTTCCTTTCATCGCCCTCTTTACAGTCCCCTTTTCCCCGTCAATCTCTGCTTTCCCCTTTGACTTCAGGAACTAGCATTAAATAAGCATGCCGACAACCCTCCTCCCATCTCCAAAAAAGCCAGGTAAGGAACTCCCCTGTATCTTGTGCTCATTCATGGTGACTGTATCAAATCGATCCTTATTCCAACAATTGTATTGTTTCCCGTGCATACTTGTCAAACAATTGGTGCTGGTGTTTAGCCAATTTCATTGTCCCCTCTCTCTCACCCTCCTCCCCCCCCCTAACCCTCATTCCCTCCCATCCACAACAGTGTTTTACAGCCCGCTGCCACGTATGGCTAAAACCACCACCAAGTGGTGTTCTCTCTCCCCAACCCTCATTCCTTTCCATCCCACTCCCCCCCTCACACACCCAACTCCCCTCCGCACCCTTCCTTTCCCAACTCCCCTCCGTACCCGAACCTGTGTTTCTCTCTCTCCCCCCTCCCTTCCCCCCCCTTCCCCTTCCCCCTCCCCCCACCTCCTCCCAGGGAGAGTCTTCTCAGCGCCGGATGGCTCATTCTCACCTTCCGGGCCAGCCTAGGGGTGCACGAAGGGTGAAGAATCAAATTTGATTGAAGGTGGACCAAAAGATGATTTGTGTTTCTCTCACTCTCCCCCCCTCCTCTCCCCCTCCCCTCCCCTCCCTCTACCTCCTCCCAGGGAGAATCTTCTCAGCTTCGCGTGGCTCATTCTCACCTTCCGGGCCAGCCTAGGGGTGCACGAAGGGTGCAGAATAAAAACTGATTGAAAGCGAGGGTGGGAGGAAGCAGACCCGAATCTGTGTGTTTCTCTTCGCCCATCTTTCCCCCTCCCCCCCCCCCCCCTGCCTCCTTCCAGGGAGAGTCTTCTCAGCTTCGCATGGCTCATTCTCACCCTCCGAGCCAGCCTAGGGGTGTACGAGGGCGCAGAATCAAATCCGGGTGGCAACGGGGCGCTGAGGGAAGGGCTGCCGCATGCGGGGGGGCTGTTGGCCGAGATAGTGAATGTGTGAGTGGGGCAGAGGGAGTGGGGGGTGGGGGATGGGGGGTGGGGAGAGGTGCCTCTGGGATGTGTGTGTGTGGACTGGCAGGCTCAGTGGCTGTCTCGGTGGAACAGATGTCTGAGGGAAGGGCTGCCGCATGCGGGCGGACTGTTGGCCTAGATAGTCAATGTGTGAGTGGGGAAGATACAGCAAGGGAGGGTGACACTGAGACAGGGGTGTGTGTGTGGGTGTGTTTGGGGTGTGTGTGGGGGGTGTGTGTGGGGGGGATGTGTTTGTGGGGTGTGCGGGGGGTGAAGTTGAACTAATGCTTGGTTATCCTTAGTTCCCTTTTTGATCCGCTATCCCGCGCTGCTTTCCCATACCTCTTCCCGTACCTCTTCCCATACCTCCTATCCAGGCTTGATCTGAAGCAGCACTATGGCCCGGCAGCAGCAGCGGTGGCAGCAGTTAAGAGTCGGTCCCCCAACCCTGCGTCTTTGAAGAGGAGGAAGGAGGAGGAGGGCAAGCGAGCCCTGGACCAGATGGAGCGACTGCAGGTGGGTGGGTGGGTGGATGTGGGTGGGTGGGTGGGTGGGTGGGTTATTGGTTGCATGGTGAATGCTAGTTGTGATTCATTTGTAGGGAGTAGCCATGGCACAGCTTCCCTGCAGGGAACGAACGAGGAGGGGGGCAAGAGAGCCCTGGACCAGATCGAACGGCTGCAGGTGCATGTCCTTTGTCCTTGTTTTTATTTCTTGTTTTGAGTTGGTTTTCATCCACTTGTCTTACACTCTCATTTGTCCATTCATCCAACAATTACAAAAATCCCGTGTCAAACAAATATACTTCTGTTACCGTTGCTCGTCTGATTTTGCTCTTCGTTTTATCCTCGCTTTACCCTTCCCGAACCTCCTGCCATCACTGCAGATCCTAGCAGACAGGTTCGGCCTAGTCTGCGGGGTTGGCATGGAAGGGCTGCAGAACGTCCTGCAGGAGATGTCCCTTCTTTCTGGGGAGATGCACGAGTCTGGGGTGAGTTGATAACGAGTATGGGGGGATACTATAACGAGTATGGGGTGAATGGCAAGGCCCAGCCTGTGAGCCTGGAATGGAAGGGCTACAGAACGTCCTGCAGGAGATGTCACGTCTTTCTTTCAGGGGAGATGCACGAGTCTGGGGAGAGCTGCTCTATAAGGTGGGGTAATAACGTGTAAGGAGTGAGTTACCAGTGAGCCTGGCATGACTCAACCGCGAGTATGGGGTGGGCATATATCCTTATGGGCCAAGTTATTCACAGAAAGTGTTTTCCATCGCATGATCTATTTATTCTTGAAACGTCCCTTAAAACACTTGCACGGTCTTTTTCGATACAAGGCAATGAGGCTCAGCTGTCAGCCAATGCTGTTCGCCTGATGACCATACACAGGGCCAAGGGGCTTGAGTTCCCTGTGGTCTTCCTGCCCGGGCTAGAGAACCACATACTGCTGCATACCCCCCGAACCCCCCCTTTCCCCTCACTCCTTCCACCCCCCACCTGCAGGGCAAGGAGGCTCAGCTGTCAGCCAATGCTGTTCGCCTGATGACCATTCACCGGGCCAAGGGGCTCGAGTTCCCTGTGGTCTTCCTGACAGGCCTAGAGAACCGCGTACTGCCACTGGTGGACGAGAATTACAGCCGGGGAAGGAGTGAGGAGAGGCCCGGGTGGGAGCAGGTCACTCTAGGGAGAGGGAGCAGGCACCACCACCACCATCATCATGGACAACAGCAGGGGCGGCAGGGGCAGCAGCAGGGGCAGCAGCAGGGGCAGCAGGGGCAGCAGCACGGGCAGCAGTGGCGGAATTCGGGGGGTAATGGGCGGATGCAAACTGGGTATGCTGGGGGAGTTCAGTCAGGGTTTGGGGGTGGGGAATTTGGACGGAAGGAGGAGAAGGTTGTTTGGGCTGACGAGGAGGAGAGGCGGGTCTGTTACGTGGCGATGACCCGGGCTCAAGATAGGCTGTAAGTGGCTCTCTTTGTGGGGGTGTAATCTTGGTGCCTTTAATTTTCCATAGCATCCATTATTTAATTCAAAGCTCTGATACTTTTTTTTTTGGTAAATTGTTTTATCAACGACGTGTGCAGGTACTTGAGTGGTGCGCAGCACCGCACATTCTACGTCAGGAATATGAAGTCATTGGAACCATCCATCTTCCTCGATGATCTAAAAGATCTTGCCCCGTTTCCTACAGGGATGTAAGCCATTTCTTGTCTTGAAAATATGCGAATAGAAGCATTGGCATAGCTTATTCCACCCTGTAGCATTATTTCATATTGTGATCATAGCCTCCCTTATGAAATAATCCATATTGCTGAAAAGAAAGTTACGGTACTCGCAAAAGGATCCATGTCTGGTAGAAAGTGTTAACTTCGCACCTGCTTTTAGTGGGACACGGTGCGCTGGAGTTCCCAAAGGACAGGGTGTAGTAGAAGCCCAACACCCTCTCCCTTGGGAATTTCGGCTTCCTCTCCTCTCTGTCTGCAGTACCCATCAGTCCTCATCACTGTGTCGTTCGGAGGAATTCGCTCGTTCCTTTTTACAACCGTCATTTCCTTGTTTGTCGTCGCGCGTATATCCGTTGCCTCTTTCGAGCCATTCCCTATCCAGCTGCTAAAGAGGCTTCCTAACCCCGTTTCCGCCGTCCAACTTAAAAACAAGCCCTCATAACTGCGATACTTTCCCGAAACCCGTTGTTTATCCACCTTTCGCAACCTCAGATGCCGAGATCTTACGCTGGGTCAGAATCGCCTAAAATCGGGGAGGATTCTCTGCAGAAAATTGATGAAATTCTCAAGAAGAAGAAGAAAAAGAAGAAAACGAAGAAAACGAAGAATGGGGAAAGGTGTCCCGATGAGTCAGGAGCGTTGGCTGCAGCAGCAGGGACAGATGGCACGTCCTGGCGCAAGAGAGCTGCGCTGAACGCCACCAGTGCGGATGACTCGCGTTCTGAGCCGTCGATTCTTGAGGCTCCTCATGCTGCAACGGCTGCAGGGACAGATGGCTTGTCAAAGCGAGTGAAGAGAGCAAAGAGGAAGCAGAGAGCTGAAGGGGGGATTGCTGATAACCTCATGGCGGAGCAACCAGATGTGACTTTTGAGGAGACTCAAAAGCGAGTGAAGAGATCAAAGAGGAAGCAAAGAGCTGAAGGTGGGGTTGCTGATAACGCCATGGTGGATCACCCAGAAGCAGGTGTTCGGGTTTCATCCGAAGAGGACCGTCCACGGGTGAGGAAGTCAAAGCGGGGGAACGCTGCAAGTAGCGGGGATGCTATCAGCGGGGATGCTATCAGCGGGGATGAGGCAGCCGCATGTGCGAAGGTTTCTGGAGCAGAAGAGCGACCATGGAAAAAGTCGTCGAAGCGGAAGAAAGCTGCGAGTAACGTCATTGGGGATGCTGCAACGGCGTCTGTGAAGCCTGCAGGAGCCGAGGAGCAGTGTCCGGTGAAGGGGTCAAAACGGGAGGAGGGGTCAAAGCGGGAGGAAGGGTCCAAGCGGAATGAGACCTCGAGTAACGGCATTGGGAAAAGCCGCATGACGGATGCAGGAGAAGCGGAGCGATCACGGAAGAAGAAGGAGAAGCGGAAGGAGAAGGCAAAGCGGAAGGAGAAGGCAAAGCGGAAGGAGAAGGCAAAGCGGGAGAAAGCTCTGTGTGGGGACATTGAGAGTAGCGGCCTTGGGGGTGAGGCAGTGACAGGCGTTCAAAATGCAGCAGCCGAGGAGCAACAGCAACCACGGGTGAAGGAGTCGAAACGGAAGAAAGCTTCTATTACTAACGATATGGAGGGTAGTGCCAATACAGATGGGGCAGCAGCATGCATTGCAGCAGCAGAGGAGCAACCACGGGCGAAGAAGTCAAAACGGAAAAAGGTTTTGACTAACGACACGGAGGGTGGCGGCATTACAGATGAGGCTGTGGTATATGATGCGGCAGCAGAGGAGCAGCCACGGGTGAAGAAGTCAAAGCGGAAACGAGCTGTGCGCGAGGGGATTGCAAATGGGGAAGTGGCAGGTGCTGAGGGCGCAGGAGCAGAGGAACAAGCACGGGAGGAGGGGTCAAGGCGGGAGGAGGGGTCAAGGCAGGAGGAGGGGACAAGGCGGGAGGAGGGGTCGAAACGAAAGAAGAAAAAGCGGAAGGGAGCTGTAACAAGCGACCTTGAGAATAGCACCATTGTGAACGGGGAAGTGGCAGGCGCTGAGGGCGCAGGAGCAGAGGAACAAGCACGGGAGGAGGATTCGAGCCGGGAGGAGGGGACAAGGCGGGAGGAGGGGTCGAAGCGAAAGAAGAAATCAAAGCGGAAGGGAGCTGTGGCAGCCGACCTTGAGATTAGCAGCATTGGGAATGATGCAGCGGTGGGTGCGAAGATTGCAGGAGCAGAGGAACAAGCACGGGAGGAGGGGTTGAAACGGAAGAAGAAGGAAGCTGTGACAAGTGAGGTCGAGATTAGCAGCATTGGGATGAATGCAGCGGCAGGTGCAAAGATTGCAGGAGCAGAGGAACAGCCACGGGAGGAGGGGCCAAGGCAGGAGGATGGGTCGAAACGGAGGAAGAAATCAAAGCGGAAGGGAGCTGTGACTAGCTACCTCGAGAATAGCAGCTCGGGGAATGATGCAGTGGCAGGTGCTAAGATTGCAGGAGCAGAGGAACAGCCACGGGTGAAGAAGTCAAAGCGGCAGAGAGCTCTGAGTAGCAACGTGGCGGAAGGCAGCACTGGGAATGAGCCAGCAGAAGGTGTGAAGGTCGCAGCAGCGGCAGAAGTGGACTTTCCTGCAGCAGAGGAGCAGCCACGGGTGAAGGAGTCAAAGCGGCAGAGAGCTCTGAGTAGCAACGTGGCGGAAGGCAGCACTGGGAATGAGCCAGCAGAAGGTGTGAAGGTCGCAGCAGCGGCAGAAGTGGACTTTCCTGCAGCAGAGGAGCAGCCACGGGTGAAGGAGTCAAAGCGGCAGAGAGCTCTGAGTAGCAACGTGGCGGAAGGCAGCACTGGGAATGAGCCAGCAGAAGGTTTGAAGGTCGCAGCAGCGGCAGAAGTGGACTTTCCTGCAGCAGAGGAGCAGCCACGGGTGAAGGAGTCAAAGCGGCAGAGAGCTCTGAGTAGCAACGTGGCGGAAGGCAGCACTGGGAATGAGCCAGCAGAAGGTGTGAAGGTCGCAGCAGCGGCAGAAGTGGACTTTCCTGCAGCAGAGGAGCAGCCACGGGTGAAGAAGTCAAAGCGGAAGAAATTTCTGAGTAGTGACCTGGTGGAAGGCAGCACTGGGAATGAGGCTGCGGCGGGTGTGAAGGTTGCCGCAGCAGAGGAGCAGTGTCAGGTTAAGGGGTCAATACAGGTGAAGGAGTCGAAGTGGGAATGTGGAGAACCCATTGGCGGTGCCAACAGTAGCGTCTTGGCTCTAGCCGGAGGTGTGAAGGCTGTAGCAGCTGAGGAGCAGTGTCAGGCTAAGGGGTCAATACAGGTGAAGAAGTCAAAGAGGGGAAGTGGAGAACCCGTTGGCGGTGCGAAGAGTGGCGTTTTGGCGCCAGCCGAAAGTGCAAAGGTTGCCGCAGCAGAGGAGCAGTCTCGGGTGAAGAAGTCAAAGCGGAAGAGCGCAGAAAGTAGCAGCTTTGGGAGTGAGGCAGCAGCAGCAGCAGCAGGCGTTGGGGTTGCTACAGAAGGGGAGGAGGCAGGGGTGAGTGGGTCAAAGCGGGTGAAGGGACTGAAACGGAGGCGGGTCACAGGCGGCAGCAGCGAGGGAGGAGCAGCAGCAGCAGCAGCAGCAGCAGCAGCAGCAGGAGTTGAAGCGGAAGCTAACGCCCCAGAAACAGCAGCTCCAGCCTCCGAATCAGCAATGGCACAGCCTGCAGTGGTGAAATTAGAAGCTGTGGAAGCAACAGCAGAAGCAGAAGCAGCAGGGGTAGAAGCAGCAGGTATAGAAGCAGCAGCAGAAGAAGCGGCAGCGGCTCAACCAATAGCAGTAGGATTGGAACTTGCAGTAGTAGAGTTAGGAAGTGTAGAAGCAGCGGCAGCACAACCAGCAGCAACGACAACAGAACCGACAGAATCTGCGCCTGCAGAACAAGAAGCAGCAGCGGCCGGAGCAGTGCAGGAGACTCCAGCGGTTAAATTGAGGCAGAAGAAAACTGCTACTGACAGCAGCAGCAGCAGCAGCAGAAGAAGAGCGGTGAGTAACATCCCTGCGATTCCCTCTGACCTCCGCTCTCTCTTCCACTCCTGGGGTATGGAAGAGCATCAGATGAACCGGGTACTCACGCTGCATCCGAATCTTGCCAAAGTAGACGTGCAGCAGAGGATCGTCCCGAGTGTTACAGTGTTACGCAACCATGGTGTCAAACCCTGCGATCTAATCCACGCCACGCTCACACGGCCCCAGTGGCTGGGAGTCTCCTCTGCAGCAGACACAGAAGAAGTGGTGCGATTTCTGGGCGAGTTAGGGGTGACGGACGGGGAGCGCATAGGGAAGCTCTTGCACCTGAATCCCTACATGTTCTCGACCAACCCGGCCAAGTTCCAGGCGAGGCAGATCGAGTTACTCAAGGAGATTGGCATAACAGACATCGCTCACGCAATGACTGTAGCTTCCCGCCTGCTCAGATCCAACCCGGAGACTATCAAGCAGCGGGTGGACTATCTCACCGAATTATTAGGTGAGCACCACGCTAGCAGCGTCGTGACACGGAATGCCAACCTACTGACGATCTCGACTCAAGAGTTGCACACCAGGGAGGGGTTGTTTCGGGAGTTTTTTGGGCGTGAGCTGAATCAGATGACCTTGGCTCTTCTGCTCAGAAAACTCTCTCCTGCTTCTGCCGAAACCCTGAGAGGCCGGTTCCAAGCCCTGACCGACGTCCTCGGGGTAACTTGCGCCCGGCAGGTTATCCTAAAATACCCCAAGGTGCTGGACGCTGCAGAGAGCTTACTACGGGACAATTTCCGCCGGTGGGAGGCGTTTTTGCCGAGCTTTGTCGACACTGCTGAATTGGTTCAGAAGTATCCGCTGCTGCTATGTGCTAACTGGGAGAGCGGCATCCAGCCAAAGCTAGACTTCCTGCAGGGAAATCTGGGCCTTTCTGCCAAAGCTGTGGCTTCGGTGCCGTACCTGGTGACACTAAGCCTTGAAGGGAGGTTACGGCCGAGAGAGGCAGCTCTTAAGAATGCCGGGATGGAGATTGTTGAGCTGGGCAGCAAGGTTAAGTGTGTGCAAAGCGGTATAATGAAGGATGGGGATGGTAAGGTACTTCGGCCAAAAAGTGTGCTGATTGGGGGGAATGGTAAGTTGATTTGGCCGAAACCGGAAGGTTTGGCCCTGAATACGTTCTTTGGGATCGATTCAAACAGGTTCGAAAAACTCCTGGCGAGGGTTACTAGTTCGTGATTGTCTGAAGTGGGCTTGGGTTGGGGTGGGGAATGTATTGTGCAACTAGTAGTGTTTGCAACTCGTCATTATTTACAATATTGTAATATTGATTAGTGCTAATTTTTGTGGTCTCAGCATGAAGAGAGGTATGTTGACGGAAGCCAGTAACGAGTCATTAACGAGGGTGGTGTTGACACCGAAGCCACGTGATGTGACCAATGATGACTGGCCAGCTACGCGAACAGGGGTTTTCGACATCGCTGTCACATATCGAGCAGAACCAGCGTGGAATTGAGAGCTTATGAGCTGGTAAGAGGTGGCGTCATCAGCTCTTCGTGCCACCTCGAGCAGCCACGAGAACGCCCTCGAAACTCCATGTTACCATTGGCCGATACACTTCCATGTCAGATACCTTCGATCCACATCGACGTGGGCTGACACACGCCTTTCTTGAAACCAGGAGCTGACGGTGATCTGTTAGCATCAGCTGAGCAGCATCAGCAGGGAGGACCATTCCGCAAACAATTTTCACCACCGAGGAATTTCTTGAACACCCGTTTCTTGTTTGTCCTCGGTGGCCAGCTATAAGTAGGTCCTGGCCAGCTAACATCCATCTATCGCATTTCTGAACACTAGTCTTCAGGTTCAGCCTAGCTTGCGTTGTCGCCTTCACTGCGGCTGGATTCGTCGCTTCATTCTTAGCTATGGCTGCCACCTGCATGGCTACCCTCGCCCATCCTGCAGCTTCTCTTGTGAAGTCTTCAGCAAATGTCCAGGTGAGGCCACTTCCTGCGTGTGCTGGATTGGGACCTCTCCGGATAGTCTCGAGGAAGACTCGGATGGCGTCTTTCGTGAAGGCGACCAAAGGCGCTCGGTCAAAGTCTCGCGTGGTGTGTGCTGTTGGTGACGTATCAGGAGATGCTACTACTTACCTGATTGCTGGAGCTGTGGCCATCACGCTTATCGGCACCGCCTTCCCAATCCTCTTCTCACGAAAGGATCTATGTCCAGAGTGCGATGGAGCTGGTTTCATCCGGAACTCACGGGTGTTGAATGCGAACGCTGCCCGGAAGGACGACAACAGAATTGTGTGCCCGCGATGCAAGGGCTTGGGAAAGCTGAACCAAGTGGACAAGTAAGGTGTCTTTCATAAACGACGACTGGACGTGTAACGGCTTGCAAAAACTCTCTCAGACCGGCAACACGCGACATCAGGCTAGCTTTATTTATCCCTGCTGCTTTTGCTTGTTCAAGTCGATTGGTTGCATTTGAATTAGAGAGAGACTCCCTGTGAATACCTTGTATGTGGACGTGAATGGTTGTCCAATTCTCATACTCTTGACCTTTCGCACTAAAACACCCTATAACACTACCCAATCCAAGGCTGATCATACGAACATCAGTAATCAACAGCAAGGAAGCGGGTGCTATTGAATATGCAGTAGTTCAGCAACATTCATGGTTGTGAGGTAAGGACGGGTCCCAAGAGTACGTCTCCCTCACATTTGGTACAGGTCCAAAGCGTTGCCTCAAGGTTGCAAAACGGAGACTACTCTTGGCACACGCCCTTCATTAAGATGTCAACAATCTTATGGAATTGAAAACTCAAATGGTAAAATGCAATTGCCTTTCTGTCAGGACTCAGGAATTTTCCATTCCTTAGCACGCTACACCGCTAATGCGTACACCTACCCTACACAGCGCCGACATAGGTTTTAGCTTCGAATCGAGCGCGCCGCGTCCTCGGATGCCTTCTCCGAACCTGTTAAATCACGCGGCTAGGATTGCTCTAGTGTTCTTATATCTTGCTTCGTAAGTCCATTGTGTCAAACATCTGTATTTGTCATGTTTGTATAGACTGTATAGGGTTACCTCTTAGAGGGTACAACACTTAGGTATATTTGTGTGTACTCTCACTTTACTCAACTATTCAATTCCTATTCTGATATGGTATCACGCGTAGGTAGGATCCCCCCCACCTACCGCTTCCGCTCATGCCCCCTAGCGCCCCTCTCAGGCCCCGTCGCGCCCCTCCCAGGCCCCGTCGCGCTCCTCCCAGGCCCCCTAGCGCCCCTCCTGGGCCCCGTCGCGCTCCTCCCAGGCCCCGTAGCGCCCCGTCGCGCTCCTCCCAGGCCCCCTAGCGCCCCTCCTGGGCCCCGTCGCGCTCCTCCCAGGCCCCGTAGCGCCCCGTCGCGCCCCTCCTGGGCCCCGTAGCGCCCCTCCTGGGCCTCGTCGCGCCCCTCCTGGGCTTCGTAGCGCCCCTCCTGGGCCCTGTAACGCCCCTCCCAGGCCCCGTCGCGCCCCTCCCAGGCCCCGTCGCGCTCCCCCCAGGCCCCCTAGCGCCCCTCCTGGGCCCCGTCGCGCTCCTCCCAGGCCCCGTAGCGCCCCGTCGCGCCCCTCATGGGCCCCGTAGCGCCCCTCCTGGGCCTCGTCGCGCCCCTCCTGGGCTTCGTAGCGCCCCTCCTGGGCCCTGTAACGCCCCTCCCAGGCCCCGTCGCGCCCCTCCCAGGCCCCGTCGCGCTCCTCCCAGGCCCCCTAGCGCCCCTCCTGGGCCCCGTCGCGCTCCTCCCAGGCCCCGTAGCGCCCCGTCGCGCCCCTCCCAGGCCCCGTCGCGCTCCTCCCAGGCCCCCCCCTAGTGCCCCTCCTGGGCCCCGTCGCGCTCCGCCCAGGCCCCGTAGCGCCCCTCCTGGGCTCTGTCGCGCCCCTCCTGGGCCCCGTCGCACCCTGCCCGACCCCGTCGCAGCCGCCAGGCCCCGTCGCGCCCGCCCGGCGCCGTCGCAGCCGCCCGGCCCCGTCGTAGCCGCCTGGCCCCGTCGCGCCCGCCCGGCCCCGTCGCAGCCGCCTGGCCCCGTCGCCCTTGCCTGGCCCCGTCGCAGCCGTCCGGCCCCGTCGCCCCCGCCCGGCCCCGTCCCACCCTGCCCGGCCCCGTCGCAGCCGCCCGGCCCCGTCGCACCCGCCCGGCCGCCGTCCCGCTCGCCCGGCCCCGTCGCACCGGCCCGGCCCTGCCGCACTCGCCCGGCCCCGTCGCCCCAGGCCGGCCCCGTCCCGCCCGCTCGGCCCTGTCGCCCCGTCCCGGCCCTGTCGCACCAGCCCGGCCTCGTCGCGCCCGCCCGGCCCCGTCGGGCTAGCCCCGGCCCCGTCCTCCTCACTGGTACGGTTCCCCCCCACCCCGCCCTGCTCCGTGCTGCCCCGCGCCACACTGTACTGTCTGGCACCGCACTACACCGCACTGCACCGCACTGCACCGCACTGTACCGCACTGCACCGCACTGCACCGCACTGCACTGCCCTGCACTGCACTGGACTGTTCCTGATGGCGGCGGAGCTTCGCTTCGACGCTGAAGGTCAGCCCCTAGAGTTCGAGGCGTGGCTTGCCGACCTCCGCCGTCAACTCACTGGCCAGCGGCAGGATGGTGAACCGCTTTCCGCACACCTTGACGGTACGCTCCCCTGCCCAGACCCCCCTGCTATTCTGCCCGCTGACCCCACACCCACTGAGCGTGAGTCTACTGCTGCCACTGTCCGTGCGCGCTCTGTCTGGCTTTCTCGCGATGCTGTTGCCCAGCTTGCCATTAGCAACGCCCTTCCCCCATCCGAGCGTCCTCGCTTTAGGTTCCTCACTACTGCTCAGGCATACTTAGATGCTGTGATCAAGCGCTATTCCACCCCTCCGGCTGCCTCGGTGGGTCGCCTGATCCTTCCGATGCTCTTTCCTGACCTTGCATCTTTCCCCACTGTCTCTGACCTCGCTGCCCACCTGCGCTCGATAGATGAGACCTGGCGCGCTGCCTGCACTGACGCCAAGCTTAGAGCCCACCAGCCGCCCATTACCTCTACCCTCTACCTGCTTGCCACCCGCCTCCCTGACCGCCTTGCTGTCGCCCGCGACCGCTTTCTTAGCGTTCACCCCGCATACCTCACCCTCACTGACTTTGTAGACACCCTGACTGTGATATAGACCCGTCACCGCTCCATTGCCCAGGCGAGCGGTGTCGTGCCGGTCCCTATCTTTCAAGGTTGTGCCCCCGCTCAGTGCACCTTCTTCGACGGCTCTGCCGCAGTGGCTGAGACTGCTGCTGCAGCGCAGGTCCGTTCGGGGAAGGGCCGCCGCCCCAAGGCTGGGCGCGGCGGAGGAGGCGGCGGGGGTGGGGGCGGGGGTAGTGGTGGGGTCGGGTCGCCTGGTGCTGGAGTGGACGAGGGGACCCTGCCCAGTTCAGCTGAGTCGCCGCCCCTGCAGGTGCAGTAGCCGCAGCAGCCGCCGCAGTCGCAGCCTTCGCAGCAGCCGCAGCAGCCGTCGCAGACGCGGCAGACGAGTGTCCTCCCGCCAGGGTGGCCCGACGCTGGCGGTGGCCGGGCGCGTGGTGGTGTGCCGCGTGGTGGCTCTGGCGGCGGGCGTTGTCAGTACCAGATCCAGACCGGTCCTCGCCGCGGCTTCGTTTGCGGCAAGCTCGGTCACTCCACTCCCCGCTGTTTTCGTCGCCTGGACGACCTGTTTCGTCAGCGCTTCGGCCCGTCGCCAGACCTCCCGGACTGGCACAATTTGCTTAGTCGTCAGATTCAGATTTTTGATATGGACATGGATGCCATTGTTTCTGCTCTGCATGTGATGTATGCTGATGACTCTAGTGTGCTTCCCGCTTATTACTCACTGTCGGCTAGTGTAGGTGTGCCTAACTTAGCCTCCCCTGCTGCGTCAGGCGTAGGATCCCCTGCTTTGTTTAGTCTTGGTGCTTCCGCCGTCGTTCCGTCGCCAGACCCCTCGGCTTCGCTTTCCTTCACCTTGGACTCTGGCGCCTTTCGGTGTTTCTTCCGCGACTCCACCACCCTGACGCCGCTTCCTGTTCCTGCTGCCGTTTCTCTTGCTGACCCCTCCGGCGGTCCGGTAGTCGCCCGCAGTTCCACCACCCTTCCCTGTCCGGCGGTTCCTTTGGGTTCTCTTACAGGTCTGCATATCCCCTCGTTCTCAAGGAACCTAGTTGGTGTCGGCTGCCTCCAGGACCTTGGCGTCACCACTACGTTCCCTGGTCACGAGCGGTATGCTGTCTGTACCGAGGCCGCCACTGGTGCCCCCCTGTCCACGTTCCCCCGGGACCCGGTGTCCGGCCTGTTCACTCTGGACACCGTGACCCCCCCGGCTGGAGCGCCCCCTCAGGTGGCTGCGTCTACCCAGGTTGCTGCTGCCTGCTCCTGTCGCTCCCTCACTCACCCGACCCTCCTGTGGCACCACCGCCTAGGTCACCCTGCGCTCCCGCGTCTGCGTCACATGTCTCAGCACGGTCTCGTCCTTGGTCTCCCAGGCTCGCTCCCCGCGTTTCCCTCCTCTCCAGCCCCACCTTGCACGCCTTGTGTCGAGGGTCGGCTTCGCCATGCCCCTCACTCCTCCTCGTTTCCCCCTACCGCCGCGCCGCTGCAGACCCTGCACCTGGACGTCTGGGGCCCCGCCCCCGTCCCTGGGCCGCGTCGAGAGCGCTACTTCCTTGTGCTTGTCGACGACTTCACTCGTTACACCACAGTCTTTCCCCTGGAGCGCAAGGCCGACGTGCCTGGCACCCTCATCCCCTGGCTTGTCTCTGCGCGTGTCCACCGCGGTCTCCCTGTCTTGCGTCTTCACTCAGACCGTGGTGGCGAGTTTGCGTCCGGTGTCCTTGGTCGCTTTTGTCGTGCGGAGGGCATCACCCAGACGTTCACCCTACCGGACTCCCCACAGCAGAATGGGGTCGCTGAGCGACGCATCGGTTTGGTCATGGAGGTGGCTCGCACCTCCATGATCCATGCCGGTGCACCCCATTTTCTGTGGCCGTTCGCTGTGCGCTACGCTTCTCACCATCTTAACTTGTGGCCGCACCCTCAGCAGCTGCAGGTTTCGCCGACCCGTCTTTGGACTGGGTCTCCTGGTGACGCGTCTGCGTTCCACGTCTGGGGCTGCCTTGCTCACGTCCGTGCCTCCGGCACGGACAAGCTCACTGCCCGCACCCTTCCCTGCGTCTTCCTCGGTTTTCCCCTTGACGCGTCCGACTGGCACTTTTACCACCCGCCGTCTCACCGCTTCTTTCACTCTCGTGACGTCACCTTTGACGAGTCTGTCTCCTACTACCGCCGCTTTCCCCACCGTGGTCCCCCGGTTACCCCCCCCCTGTTCCTGGTCACCCCTTCCCCGGTAGTCCCTGCCCCTCCTCCTCCTCCTCCCCGTCTCGCCCCCTCTAGTGTGTCCCACGTCACCCCCCTTCCGTCCGTGGACCCGGTAGAGGAGTCTTCTGACTCTAGTGGCCCTCCTGTGCAGTCCTCGCCGGCCGCCCCTCCCCAGGTGTCCCCTCCCCAGTCCCCTCCTCCACCGCCACTACCGCTGCTGCAGCCGTCGTCGTCGCCGCCG